AATTAAATTTCAAAATGTTGTTTTATAATTTTGATTTTTTTTCCAAAAATCTGGACGTTTCGGGTGAAAAGTCGATTCAGAGTTGTAAACTACATGTGTAGGACTATGTTATTTTATACAATTGAAAACCCATTTACTATGTACAATTTTGAAGTGACGTCATCGCTTTAGTGGTGGGGATGATTCGACAAATTTTGGTTAGCGTTTTACCATCTACATGATATTCTTAATATAAGTACAAAATTTCACAACAATCGGTCGATTACTTTCGGAGATTATCTGTCTAATAAAAATCCGTGACAGACGGACAACCAGACAGACGGAAATGGGAGACCTATTTCTTCGTTTACGCTCGGGAAGTAAAAAAGTAGAAAATTTAAAAGCAGATAGTTTAAACGGTCCTGCTCACATCAAAAAATGTTACAAAAATGACGAGAACTCTTTTAATAGCATGTTAGTTTTATTTCAGTTTATGTGTCAGGGCTGATTTTCAGTATTTTTATTTTTACCATGTCGGGAAAAATAAAATAATGCATGCATTAGATTTCTGATTTCAGAAAAAATTGCACTATTTGAAAGCAGAACATTTGACTACTAGTGCTATTAAAAAAACATCGAGTTAGCCCTGCATCTCAAAAACAAATGAAGTATAAAATTTGAAAAAATTGCAGAAAGCAGAACTTGAGGATTCCTAGGGGCGGCCTAAAATTTCAAAAAATTAACAAACCGTTCTTTTCAGCGAACCTGTACATTTGTGAGTCTATGGAGAAGTTTTGCCATGAAGTTTCAACTTTTGCATCTTTGATAAACTATTGGATCTCTCTATGAAATTATTCTAGTTGTCACTATTTATGGATCAATTTTAAATTTTCAAAAAGCGAGATTAGTACAAAATGAGTAAAAAAATCAATCGCGCTTTCCAGAAATAAAATATCTTAATAAATAATTGAGTAAAATAGGGGTAGAATATTTGAAATTTGTGTTCAAATAAACTTGCGATTTTGCAGGTCCACTTAAATCCATAACAGGTAGCCGAAAGAGCCCGACCCTTTAAACCCCTCGTAATAAAATTTTATAAGGGTGTCTGTAACCTGTAACTAGTCACTTAAAAGACTTGTGACCGCAGGTAATTGTCGGTGAACTAATCCCTGCAATAAATACTCCAGACATGATGTGGGGTAAAGATTTTTATGCATTCTGTATTTACTTACTACCTAATCGATAGTCCAGGCCTACTAAATAATATAAACTTTGCAGTTCCAGCATTTAATAATAGGCATCACAATATTTTCTTTAAATCAAAATTCAAAACGAACATTCTATCACACTCTTGTATCTATCAAATGATTACAACAAAATATTGAACACGCCGTAGATATTTTTAGGTTGAATTTCTTCAATAAGATTCGTGAACACTTCTTGCTCTGTTGGTTACATTGAATTTTTTCACCAATTTTCTTATTTATTAATATTCATTACTTCAAACTTGCCCTGTAAATGGAATTTTCTCCGTAATCAATAAAATAAATTGACTCAGTCATTATTTTTTTTCATATAACCAAATCTAAAAAATATGTATGCAGTGATAAATCACAATTATAGACTCATCATACTTTGCGCAATGCACATTTAAGATAGCATTTTTTCGGAAAAATTTTGGGGTGGCGTGATCAATTTTTTAGGGGGGGATGAGCAAATATATTTTTATCAAAAATTTACCATGCCTATGATAACTTTAAAACATCTCCAAGATTTCAAAGCATTCGGTTTTGCAGATTCCAAATTAAATGTCAAAATGTTGTTTCCTAATTTTGATTTTTTTTCCAAAAATCTGGACGTTTTGGGCAAAATCTCAATTCGGAGTCATAAACTACAGACGGACAGACAGACAGACGGAAACAGGAGACCTATTTTTGCTTACGATCGAGAAGTAAAAATTAAACCCTATTGGACAAAAATAATAATAAACAAAATACTCTCGATCATTTTCTTCCTTTTAAACGTATATAATTTTATTTCATTCATCTCCACCAAAAACTTGATAACAACTTTTCAAAATATTATTAAACAGTTCAGAAAATTGAGGTACCAAGGTATTTTTTTAACAAAGATTTCGTAAACAATTGTTCGTGGACTCCAACCCCGAACGAGCAGGTACTTCACTAAGACCTTTAATAAGAGGATTAAGATCTATGCCAGCTCAAAACCGAACTACTCATAAAACGATTAACTTTAGTCGAAACATTTCCAGAAAAACTTTGACAATTAAAGCCGTTCGAAAACATTCCAAGAAACCTAAGGACGTCACCGACCACAGCGCTATTTAAGGACCGTCAAAATTTTTGAAACATCAGTCTGTAATAGTCGCCGTAGAGTCCACTTCTGCAGTTCATTCAGTGTTTCAGTGGTGCTTCGAAATCTTCATTTTTACGAACAACATGGCGTCCTTCAAAGGCTTCTTTTCGCTAAAACGCTCCAAATCCGATAACGACATCGTCGCCAAAAAAGCACAGTGGAAATATTTTTCTGCAAGTGGTCTGACCAATCTGACCAACCTAGTGTTATCCAAGTCGAAATCTGTTTCTCTTGTAAAAATCAACACTAGTGACGACGACTTTGCGCCATCGAGGTTTCGAGCTTGTCCTGACGAAGACTTCGACCGAAACGTCGACGTTACCAGTGAGAATAAAATGAAAAGAGTGAGGAAATGCGACAACAACAATAATCACGTGGCGAAGAGGATGAAGTATGAAGAAGATATGGAGGTAGACAGTGAAGTTGAGATGTCCATAACCGGGATGAAAAAATTTGTCACTTCTCCAATGACCCAACCTACGCAACGCAACATTCCGAATTATAGGCAGGAATTCTGCGAGTTTACCGGCGCGCTTCGCTTGTTTGTGGAGTTTTTTAAAGGGAGTGGTTGGAAGCCCTTGGGGTTTGCGGTGGTGGGTGGCAGGGACTCCCCGATGGGTCGTCTGGGGATTTACGTGAAGAGTATTTTTGAGCATGGGCAGGCTGCTGAATTGGGTGTTTTGCGCGAAGGCGATGAAATCGTTTCCGTTAATAATATACAGATGAAAGGGATGACGCATGATGAAGCTGTTCAGACCTTCAAGAGAATCAGATGTGGTTATGTGTCCATGGTGATGCTGCGGAAGCATCAGTCCGAGTTTAGATATTCGTTTTAGATGGTTCTTGTTTTTTATTTGAGATTTTTAATTTGTACTAAGAGTAGCAAGTAATAAGAAATTGTATTATTGTAAACGTACTATAGATTTAGTTTCACTCTAATCAAAATTTTAAGTAATTTTCTGTAACATCTGCTTTAAAATTATGCTTTATTATTTTTATTATTAAAATTGTGCTACTTTTCTTTTTCAGGAGATTTTTTTGTTTCTATTTTACCCTTTAATGAATATCATATGAAACTTATTAACTAAATACAATAGAACTTCGATAATTCGATTTAATTGGGGAATTTCCCAAAAATCTAAAATGGAATTGAACAACTATTTCAAACACTGCTGAAAACAAACTTCAAGAAATAAACCTTAATTTTTTTAAACAGATATAAAGTATTCTTAAGCAATAATGGATAATATATACATTCGAAAAAAATTTTACTCCCTGACCATAAACACGCTTTTTGGAATCAATACGTCGGGATCTATATCCTTGAATTGATTAATTTTTGCAAAAATGAAATTTTTCATTATGTATTCGTATTAGGTATCCTTTATACAAATTTCGACCCATTCTCGACTATTTTCGAAATTTAACTAAATACATTTTCTGCAATGCCGCAATTTTTAAAAATTTCGAAAAACTCGAATTTAAGTCCGAATTTTCCGAAAATACTGCTCCGTTACCATCAAAACGCTATATTTTTTGAATTAGCATGTTGCGACCTAAGTTCCTGAGTTTTTTCACAATTTTTAGACAACTTTTTTAAAAGTGTAATTTTTCCAATGGGCCCCCTTCTTCAAATTTCGGCCAATTTTTGACATTTTCGAAACTTAATAATATACATACAAAATTTGACAACAATCAGTACAGCAATTTCGGAGATAAAACATAAAACACAAAAACAATTGAATAGGGTAGAATATAAAAGCGGTAATAGTAAAAGTTACTAGAATTTTTATGTTCCAACCAATATATTTTTGTTTTTATAGCATAATTAAGCAAATTGTAAGACGTTTTTACTACCTGTGTTCTCATTTTAAACCAAACAGCAATCTGATCCTTCGTCGTGGGCCGACTGTTCACTATGAATTACGGAAAGGGTCATAAATGGTTCTTCCGTGGAGCATCTTTGCCGGCGTTTCTTTAACATTGGTTCAATGAGGCATGCTCTCTCCTGTTATTCTACCTCCATGATAATGAATGACTTATTATTTATTAAAGAAGGAAAAACACACGAGCCTTGAAATACCTTAGTATGAATAAGGTCTCGGAAACAATATTTATTGCTTGACAGGTACCGAGAAAGAACAATATTACACTGCAATTTACATTCGCCGTATTGTATGTATATCTTTATACGAGTCCACAAATATTACCATAATCCTAGAAAACTGAAAAATGAACTTAAATGAAGAAAACTGATGGCAGTTGATTACAAGACAAGAAAATCTTATTATTACTTCCCGCGAAATACGATCACAAAAAACTTTTTTAACATAAATGCCAACCGAACAAGAACCAGCGAAAACACAAGCAGAACAATTTTCACTTAACACTACCTTTCTCCAAAACATTTGAACCGATTCCCACAAATTAATCATCTTCCATGTCTCAATCCAATTTCCTCCAACAATTTTCAGACACGAATCGATTTTATCCCCATTATCCAGATGTCAATCGTTCGTAACAAGCTGGAAAAGTCGTGATTTTATTACATTATATCGACCAAACACATTTTTCTTTTATTTTAACGACATTCCAAAACTTTTCTTTGTTGGAAAAATACCTCCCATCATAGTTCAATCGCGAACATGAACGATACACAAGCACGCGTCAGCAGTTATCAAGGCATTCGAAGTAAAGTGGCAAAGTTTAATTATTTCGACGAGTGGGACGAAGAAACGATAACGAAACTTTGCAACGTTTCCAGAATAAAGACGTTCGCATCCGACCAAGTGATTCTCGGCGGAAAATGTGACTTAAAGAGTTATGTTTATTTCGTTGTTGAAGGTAGTTGTAGACTTGTTGAGTGTCTGAATTTGCCAAAACAAGTACAAAGTGGTGTACGCACGAGGACTTGTTTTGTAAATGTAGGTATATATATTTTTATTCAGAGTTTGTATTGGTTTTATAGAAAATGGCTTCAGGTTTGTACTTTAAACCGTTTGTCATGTTTCAACATTGGCGAAAACTTGGAAAATCGGCAAATAGTCGCAATCAGTGACACCGAGTGTCTTCTGATTCCTTTCTACTGGTTGCTAGAACGCAACGATGCCAACATATGGGTACGAATCAAACAATTTCTAACCTGGAAAATGCCGAAAACATCCGTCATTATCGAACAACTCTTAAAAGAAGAAAAATGGAGCAGAAGGAAACATAAGTTAATAAAAGCTAAAGCGAAACGAAAGGTCGATACGATAGGATTTCACCAAGTTCCGTACAGCTTGAAGGTACAATATTAGAAGCAACTATCCAACTATAAAAACTTTTATTAAATATAGTACACACTCAAAGATTTTGAGAAAAAATTAAATATTTATTTACAATTTTTAATGAATAAAATATATGTATATTACACGCTGGGTACAATCCTCTTTTTTCGACACCTACTTGATCGCCTTTGCGGGACCTCGCTCTCAGTACTGAAACTACAAAAGATAATAAATTCCACCACAGTTTCTCACAAAACTTACTCTGAATCGGACGTCTCTGTTATCACTATTTTACTCATCCGCGACGATATCTTGGAACTGTTGGACGAATTTGTTGTGGGGGTTTCGATGGTTAAATGGTTATCAATGTCCATCTGCCATATCACACACAAATAAAAAGTGATATCATCAAAAACGAAAAACTTACCTCCATACTGGTTTCTATAATCGTATGAAGTGTGGTTTCATTACAACGATTTTGGTTTATTCTAGACAAATTCAATTTTTCTAGAACAACCACACAGTTTTTGTTACTTCTGCTCTTCCTTCGTTTAACTTGCTGCGGTCCTTTTATTATGTCTTGTTCGTTTATGCTGACTTCCTCTATTAATAAATGTTTGTACAATTCATATCACAAATCAATTATAAACTTACGTAAAACATTACACGTTTGTTCGTTTCCCGTATTGTTTGTTTCTTCTAATATCTGACTCTCACTCATTTGCTCGGTCGTATTCACTGTCGTATTCGTCTGGATTACACAGCTTTGTTTTAATTTCGAAACTAATTTTTCAATGTTTTTTCTGGGTTGTTTATCAGAAAGATTCTGTCAAAAATAAAAATAAAAGTAAAAAAAAAAACAAATCCCGATGCCTGATGAACAAATTTACCTCTAGCAGCATTTCACCACGTTCTATTAATTCCGTCTTGCATGCCACATTTGTCCTTTCCAACTCTAAATTGTACAAAAGCTTTGCCAAAAATGGTACGATTCGGTCCGTTACATTTTCCAATATTTTCATACAAAGGTCCAACGCTAAAATTCTAAGGTCATCCTAAAAGAAATCGCAAAAATTAATGGAGAAAAAAAAATGGAAAATGGAGCGAGTCGTTCTTGAATATTTACATTTACAAGTACCCGTAATTTGAGACAAATAGCGATTACGCTTGTCGAGTTGTGCACGTGAGAGTGAAACAGAGAAATTAAACTAAACGACATTTTCTGCGAATTACAATAACAGGATCACAATGCCAGACTTTTTTTACTGCTCTGACTTCCGCTTCTTGAATAAACCACTGTATTTTATTTTGATTTTCGATGTTGTAATTCACATTTGGTTAATTATAAGTTTTTGTCTAGGTCTAGGGGAAGCAAGAATTTCTTTAGAGGAGAATCGACTTCCCCTGGTCTCCCTGGCCCTGCTTCAGGATCATGAAACGTCGAGAAAATATGAACGTACCAAGTACCCTCAATAAGTAAAAATGGCCTTTCAGCAATAATAAAACAACTTGAAGTGTTTATATACATGGCAAGAATGTCACGTAGAAATTAACTTGAATGGAATCAGTTTGTCGCCTCAAAATAGAGAATTAAAATTAATAATTAAATACACATTTTGTTTTTTTGTTTTAATATGATGTCAACTTTTTTTCACAACATGAAACTTAAAAGTTAAAACATGTCTAAAATGGAAATGGATGACTATGTATATTAAGAAAAAAAAAGGCAAAATATATGCCTAGCTCACCCGCCCTATTTCAATTGTGATCTTTTACATTCGTCGTGAGCCAAGGAGGCGGAGATTAACTGCAAAATCCTTAGTTCTCTACGAGAAATTAAAAACATGATTTTGAGTATCGTGTTATTTCAAAGAGTGCTATGTATATTTAGAAAAAATTAAAGCCAAAGATGAAGCCCCACCCATACCTGCCTCAATCTAAATAGTAATGAAGTTTTCATTCGTTGGCAGACTTAGGGGCGGAGCCTACTGCAAAATCCATATTGTCTTACAAAAATTTACCATTTTAATAAAGAATAAAAAAAATCATCAGAATTGAGATGGGGTGGGTGGACGGGGTTTATTTTTTGTCTTTTTTTCTAATATACGCAGTATTCTTTGCACAACCCGATACTCAAAAACATGTTTTTAATTTCTTGTAAAGAAATAACAATTTTGCAGTTAAGCTCCGCCCCTCTTGATTCACGGCGAATATAAAAAATCGTAACAATTGAGACAGGGTGGGTGGGTGGGGCATATATTTTGCCTTTATAATTCTTATTTTTTTAATCATTCCTAATTTGATAAAAAAAATATCTTAAGTTTATTTCATCTAAGGAAAAAAAAAGATATGGCGCCCGCTGGTTTCAACTCGTCGACCCTGGGTCTGTGAACCAGAAACTCCACCACTGAGTCACATCTGCTAGAACAGCGTTTCGTACTATGTTCGCAAAGAACAAAGCGGTTTAAACAATAAAAAAATATAGTAATAACAAAGAAAATCAAGATAGATGCGTAAACAACAAGTACGGGAGTATATTATTTCATACAATTTCGGTAATGTTATTCTGCAATATAATGAGCGGACGTCATTAAATTGTTACTGGAGATGATTATCCTAATTTTGATTAGCGTTTTACCATCTACATGATATTTCTAACATTCATAAAATTTGAGAACAATCGGTCCAATAATTTCGGAAATCATCTGTTTAATAAAAAAATAAGAATACTTACTAGATATATTTTTTCTTTCTTTCATTAAAATTTGATTTTAAAGGCTACTTTTTGTGGAAAAAAATTGGAAACATGCAAAAATTGACCAAATTTGCATTGCCCTTACAACGTTCACATTGTGTGATGATCAAAATTATCAAACAGGGATATACAGTGGACCTTTCTTAACAAATTGGATAAAACTGCAATAAATATTGCACAATTAATATAAAGCTAGCACAACATTTTTCTAATGGTTTTAAAGAGTTGCATTTTTAAAACCATTAGAAAAATGTAAAGATACTTTGTTAACATTTTGTTATAATAACCGATTATGTTTTTTTCGATTTTTAGGTTTCTCAATTTTTACTTTTTCAGTATTTTAATTTTTCGCTTCTTCAATTCTTCAATTTGCATTTTTCCGATTTTTCAATTTTCCGATTTGCAAATTTTGGTTTCGGTTCTTTGTTTTCTTTATTTTTTCAATTTCTCGGTTTTCAGTGTTGCAATTTTCTAATTTTTCTTTTTTCAAGGTGAAAGTTTTCAGTTTTAGGATTTTTCAACGTTCAGATTTTTGAATTTTTCGTTTTTTCAATTTTAGATTTTTCAGATAAGTACTTGAGTTTTTAATTTTTCGTTTCTTCGATTTTTGATTTGTAATTTTTCTGGTTTTCATTTTAAATATGCATCTAGTAATTATACTTTTTAAAAATTTTCACTTTGTCAATTTTACGATTTTAAAATTTTTCCATCTTTCAAGTATACAACTTTAAAACTTTTTCATTTAATCGATTTTTCAGTTTTTCACCGTCTCTATCTTTAGGTTATCGATATTTCAGTATTGCAGTTTTTCTAATTTACAATTTTATTACTCCTATCATTTTTCAATTTAAAATTTTTTGGGTTTTCCAATTTTTCGATTCAATTCGCTTTTTTCGATTTTTAAGTTTCTCGATTTTCAGTTTTTCAATGTTTCGATTTTCCGCTTTTTCAATTTTCCAATTTCTCGGTTTTTCAGTTTTATCAATTTTTTCAGATTTTTTAGTTTTTCGATTTTTCAATTTGTCAATTTTTCAACTTTTCGAATAAAAAATGGTACAATTGCAAAATTTTAAAATGAAAAATCAAAAAGCGAAAAAGTATAAAATCAAAACTTTGAAAAATCTAAAAACTGGAAATGAAGAAATTGAAAAATTGAGAAACTTAAAAATCGAAAAGGTGCAAAACCGAAAAAAACGAAATATAGAATCAAAATATTGAGAATTAAAGAAATCGGAAAATTAGATAATTGAGAAACCCAAAAATTGCAAAATTGAATCACTTAAAAGTTGGAAAATCGAGGATCGAAAATTTGAAGAACTGGTTAAACAAAAAACTATAAAAACAAAAGAAACATTGAAAAAATAGATAAAAATATATAAAAATAAGATCGAAAGGCGATCTGTTGCTCTATTAAATATAGAAGAAACAGAAAAAAAATACACCAGAAACACAGAATGCATTAAAAAAAAAAGAAGATATTCTGAACAGTATTCATCATGTTTTCGGAAATCATGAAAAATGTGATACATACTTCTGCAATGGTTCCAAAACTAATGAAAAAAATTTTACTCCGGAGTTGAAACAATGTGGTTTACAATGATGCATTGATTCACCTCAACGCTGGTCAATAATAGTAGTAATTTTTTGAAAAATATCACGAATAATGCTTCAGAAAATTATAATTCTGTATTGGCGAAATTTGTAGGAGGAAGAAGAATAGATTTTACAAGAAGTGGAGGATATAATCTAAGGTGTTTTGCGGCTGGTTATTCATGGAATTCCGAAAATGAATATATTTCAAAGATTCACCAAGCCATAACACGAAGAAGTCCTGGAGTTCATACTAAAAGGTATATCATAGAAGAAAAGCTGTGTTATGTCGAAAACGTCTCCGATATGACAGAGTGAACACAAAAAGATCACCAGACAGTGCAACTGCGGATGCAAATTACAGATCTAGGAGGTCTTAGAAGAACTAAAAGTTTGTGATGTGAACAGATTGGACAAAACCGTGGCAGAAATAACCCAAATATAGAAAATTTGACTAAGGAACAATCAAGTTGCACATTGTGGCATGAAGAAAGACGGATCCGCCTTACAGCTTCCGCTTTCGGTCGAATATGTAAGCTCTGACATCAAACAGATTGTTCGAAGGTTATTAGGTCCATTTAGATAGGATTTAAAGGCAACACGAGTACCAGGTATGGAATAGATAATAAAATAATAGCGCGACGCGAAATGGAAAGAATTTTAAAAGAAAAAATTCGTCCACGTGGATTATTTATTCATCCAATCGACAATTATTTAGGCGCCTCGCCAGATACTACTATAGGCTGGAATATTCTTTTGGAGATAAAATGCCCATATGCGGACAGATTCGTCACTCCTGAAGAAGCCATTAATAAAAAAAAGTAGACTTTGCAACAATCGTAAATAATAAATTCACCCTTAAACGCAACCACAACTATTATTATCAGGTTCAAGGGCAACTTTACGTTGCTAATACACAAAGTTCCTTCTTTGTTTTTTTGACGCCGAAGGGAATCTTATATGAAGAAATTTACAGAGATAAAAAATTTTATACTGAAAAAATGCATAAGAAATTGAACGATTTTTTTTTTCAAATATTATGTGATCACAAAAGTTATTTTTTGAAAGTAGGAGGTAGAGAGGTAAATTAATTCTTTGTTCAGTATGTTTGAATTTTTAATTGTTTGTTGTCATTATTGTTATTTTATTTTGTAACTCGACTACACAAAATGTTCATTTTATATATTGCATTATTTGTTGATGAAGAAATTGTAACAAACTTTTTATGTTTTTGTATAGTAATTATAATTATTCTTATAATTATTTATTAATACATGGTTTTGAAATTTTATCGAACTCTTATTCTGTGAACCTATTCCACTATTATTCTAATATTTTCTAATTTTTGTTTACCAGAAATTTTTTAGACAAAGATATAGTAACACAAGAAAAAGGATTATGTGCGTACGGTAGTAATTTATAGTTTATAGTCCAAGATCCCAGGGCCCCCAGACGTTACTTATTTTCTCACAAATAAAATATATAGGATAAAGTAGTATTGATATATACCTTGAGTGTATGCATACCTGCTAGCTTGGGCCGACGGCCAATTTCCAGGTACCAGGTGCTAAAGGTAGTTAAAAACAGTACTTACATTTCTCAAAGTTTCAGTGCTGATTTTTACGGTTATTTTAGAAAATATTGTTGAAAATTAAAAATTAATACTGCCAGACACTTTCCATCGGCGGTAACTTTTACCAGACGCTTTGAAGTTTCCAAAAAAAAAAAAAACTTTACTTACAATCTCAGTCTTGATTTTTATATATGACACTCAGGGAACTATTTCAATATTTTTTGTAAGCAGCCAGACCAATCGGACGGGCCAAACATTCGCCCAGATACACACAAAGAGTCGCTATGTGTGTGAGCGCAAGCGTGATTATTAGATAAGTTTTATAACATAGCTTTATAAAATTTATATTATTAATAGTCTTATAGGTCTTCAGTAATAATTAAGTAAAATTTTCACGCTTAATTATAACGATGATTATAGTATAATTAAATATGAATTCATTTGAACTCGTAATGAAATTATGGACAAATCGTTGTTCAGTTATGAAAAATATTTTTTGTTGGGTGTACTCGAGAGATTTATGGTTTAAACAGCAATCAATTTAATAAAATAGTAGCTTATTTGCATGTTATGATAAGCAAAAAAACAATAAATTTATTAACAGGAAACTTAAATATTAATTCATCAATAAGCTGTGATTTTTTTTTCAACCTTCATTGTCATCATTAGAGAGCGGATTTTATGAAAATTGCATATCCGTTATTTTTTGCATATAAGTCTTGATAATTAATATGTGAACGAATCATGCTAACTAAAAATGAATACAGCTATAAAAAATTGCATATTTGCATATATTTGCCTTCTGCTGCATATTTCACGGAACGGGTGCATATTTTGCATTTTAATTTTTCAATTTTAGAGTTTCTTGACTTCTAAATTTTTCAATTTTTCGATTTGCAATATTTTAATTTTGCAATTTTTCGATATTACAGTTTCTCATTTTTCGATTTTTCACATTCTCAGTTTTTAATTTTTGTCATTTTCAATTTTTCGTTTCCTCAATTTTTCAAGTTCTCGATTTTTATTTTTCATTTTCCCAATTTTTTTATTTTTTTTATATCACAATTTTTTGTTTTTTCATTTCCTTAATTTTTGTTGTTTCTTTTGATTTTCCAATTTTTCGTTTATTCAATTTTTCAAAGTTTCAGGCCAATCGATTCCAATTCGTCGATTTTCCAATTTTTAAATTTTTCAGTTTGCAGTTTTTGGGTTTCCACCCCTTTTTTACCTTTTGGATTTTCAATTTTTCGTTAAACTTCAGATTTCTCAAATTTTCGGCAGTTTTATACTTCGATTTCTTAATTTTTTTTCAACTTTCAACTGTTTTAATGTCTCTTTTTTAAAATTTTTCAATTTTTTTTATTTCTCGACTTATCGAATTCAGATGTTTGGATTTTTTGATTGCTCAATTTCTCAATTTATCAATTTCTCAATTTTTTTCTATTTCTCGATGTTTCGATTTTTGGATTTCTCGGTTTTCCGATGTTTCGATTTTTCAGTTATCCGATTTTTCAATTTTTTTAAATTCTGAAGTTTCGATTTGTCGATTTTTCAGTTTTTCGATTTTTAAGTTTTAGATTTTCGAATTTTTCCTTTTTGATTCTTTGATGTTTGGACTTCTCCATTTTTCAATTTTGCGATATTTCAATTGTTCAATGTTTTAAATTTTAGATTTTTCGATTTCTGGATTTTTTAATTTTCCAGTTCTTCAGTATTTCTATTTTCCAGTTCCTCAGTATTTCTATTTTACAATTTTTCAAATTTTGACGTTGCTGAATTTTTAGTTTTCCATTTTTTCGATTAATATATATATTTTTTTATTTTACCGTTTCTAGAATTCTCAGTTTCGATTTTTCAGTTCTTCAATTCTTTAGTTTTTCGTTTTTTAAACTTTAGATTTTTCAATTTTCGACTGTTTTATATATGTTTCGATTTGTGAATTTTTCGAGTTTTCAATTTTTTGAGAACTCGATTTATCGAGATTCGGATGTTTCGATGTTTTGATTGTCTCAGTTTTTTAATTTTTCGATGTTTCACGATGTTTTTCGTTTTTTTACTTTTCGGCTTTTCGATTTTTGAATTTTTCAATTTTCCAATTTGTTTAAATTTTCAAATTTTGACGTTTCAGTTTTCCTATTTCTCAATTAATCTATTTTTTGGTTTTACCATTTTCAACTTGCGAAGGTTTCGATTTTTCAGTTTTTCAATTCCTCAACTTTTCGATTTTTCAGGCTCCAGATTTTTCAATTTTTCGATTCTTTAGGTTTGCAATTGTTCGGCCTTTCGATTTCCCAATTTTTCAATTTATTAATTTCCCAATTTTTGGAAATTTCGTTCAATTTTGTGAGTTTTCTCAGTTTTTAGATCCTTCAGTTTTTCAATTTTGGGATTTTTTAGTATTTCGACTTTTGGATTTTTCACGTTCTGGATTTTTCGATTTCTCGACTTTTTACTTTTTGGATTTTCAATTTTTCGTTTTTTGAACTTTCGGTTTTCACAATCTTTCAGCTTTTCGATATTTTAACACGTTAAGCGCCAAAGCAGACACCGGTGTCTGACCACTGGATTCCATAGGGGGCCAGAGCGGTCACCAGTGTCTGTTTCATATTTCCTACTCTAGGGCCACACAGACAAATAATTAGGCATTATAGAGCGAATATGTGTCTGCCATGGCATGTGCACATTTGATCCCATAGTTGGTTTGCCATCCTTCCAGGTAAATTTGCGCCCTAATTACTTTTGGAAATACTGTTCATTCCCAATATTTTTGTTCGTTGGTTAAGTGTATTAATGGTACGTTTAGTGGTGGTCGAAGGGACGTTATACTATTATTTTTTATCGAGAATTTGTATTGAAAGCATTTATAGGGATACAGGTGTATCAATATGTCGAAGATAACTCAAATTAATTTATGGATTAAAGCTTTTCCTGAACTTATTCTTCAAGAACGAACTGTATTTTGTCGCACCTGTCCTAAACCGTAAGTATTTTTAAATCTGTGGACGTAGTACGCAGTTTTTCTATTTACAAATACATTTACTTTAGAATCACCGGAAAAACTTTTTGTTAGAATATTTCGAAAAATATCTAAAAATAAATTGTTACCAAAATAGTAATTAAATAGTGGATTACTACTATTTTTTAATTTGATCTGTTTATATTTATTTTTTAGTATAAGAATATTATCTTTAAAAACGTGATTTATGTGTTAGTGAGATATAATAATTAAACACTTTGCAATGTGATTTATGTATTTTTTGTAATAAAACGTAAGCTCGGGAAACCTGTTTTTGAATTTTATAAATAAATTTAGTTCGCTTATTAAGCTTTTTTTTTATTTTTGGAGCACATGCAACCGCATAGCTCTGCATATATTAAGAAAGTTACTGCATATTTGCATAAATTTGGTGCATAGGTATCATCATATTTCTCAAAATTTTGCTGCATATTTTCCGCTCTCTAGTCATCATCATTGAAGTTTGATAACTCATCATCAATCTAATATTGGCATTAAGAAAAAATGGCCAAACATAAGCAACTAAATATAACTAGACGGTAGTTGGACAACGTGTAGACGCATTATGCCCAACTGTTGCGTCGAAATTATGAATGATAGCGCCTTAAACTTTAGCCAATCAGAATTGTGTATTCGGACCACGGAAAAGCCTCAAATTCAAATTCTGTATCTTTACAAATGGCAGTGAGACTAGACGACACTCACGAATGTAAAACGGAAACTAGCAAAAAAGTTGTCGTTGTTGTACTTACATTTTGTAGGTGGATATTCATCATCTCTGAGAAAAAATTAAGCACATTGTCGATGTCAACATCAGCCAAAGGACTAGTTCTTGGAGCCCGAAGTAAACTGGTAAGTGTAGGTACAATCGCTTCCTTCATAACTTCACCGCAAGTTTTAAATCTGGTATACTGCTCGATGAAATATCCCAAATAAATTTGTAAACGGCTGTCGTGCTTCTCTGTTAGACAATAATTATAATTTATAACAATCTATAACGTGCGAATTTGAAATCATATACCTGTTAGAGGGCTGTACCACTTGAGCAAGATCCTCGACAAAAGACTAGCGGTAACCGGAAACGACTGTTTCACTAAAGCAGCAATTGCTAAAATAGCTTTATGCCTTATCTCATCCCGCTGCAATATTTTTTTAAACAAAAATACCTATGTTTGAAAAATACAAACCTCATCATCCAACATGTCCAAATAAATCTCAAAAATATACGACATAGTTATTTTATCGATTTTTGCGTTCGTCGTATTCATACTTTCTTCGTTATCGTTTGTGTATAGTTTTCGTCTTGCAGTCTGATCTACTGTAGTGTTTATTGTTTCTTCCTCTTGGCCAATAATCTCAACACCATAAAGCGATATCAAGTCCGTAACGCTACAAATTGACTGTGTGAGAACTGAAGCGTTGATTTGTACTGTTCGGTAGGTAACAATCTAGAACAAAGAAAAAACAAAGAAAACTTCGCAAAAATGAATTCAAAAAATACTCACTGGGATGCAAATGATTTTGGCGTAGTCCACGGCGGTAGCTTTATCGATGACAGAGAACAAAGCTAGACATTTAAGTACTCTCCAGTGCGGTTCCGCCCCTTGATTCATTATCAAAGGTACCAAAAATTGATCTCTACATGTGATCAAAGATGGGGTCAGTTTCGAGACTGCTGGTAGTTCGAGTACGCTTGAAAGAACATCTAAACAACGACACAAAGTTTCGTTGTCCGTTTTCTGTACTCGAACTTTTTCGACATCTAATTGAGTTTGTAATTTTTCCAGTTGGTTGCTGACATCGGCCAACTTTTGTTCGAGTTCTTGCGCTTTTTGGTAGTTGCGTTCATTTATTGCTTCGTTTTGACGCTCTTTCAAGATATTGAGTTTCACTCTCAGTTCTGCCGTCTACGGGAAACGTTCACATTGAATTAAACATTTCGATGCAACTTTAACAATGATGCATTAAATAAATAAGATTTCCTTGTCTACTCTCGCTACTTAAATAAATTTAAAATCAAAAATTTATTTCACTGATATTTATCATTTTGGAAAAGCAGATAGTGTATGAACTAAACACGCGAATATTTTATTCTTTAAGGACATTTTTGGTAAAGATTTTCGTCTAGTTTATTACTAGTTTTATTCTATTACTCTGCTTGACTGTTCTCTGGAAAGTTATAGTTACTTTATTTATTTCAAAGTTCTTTTTCAACTATAAAATAGTTTTCATAAGTTCCTGGTAGATTTTAACTTCAACTTGTTCATATCAATGAGACTTTTTGTAATTTGTAGCATTCTTGGCCATTTCACCCTTGAAAATCTTGGAAAATAAAATATATGGAATTTTATACTCATGCAATAAATACTGTTGCTGCTGATTTAAAAAATAATCTGTGACCTATTCATCTGTAATATAATAAGAAACATCGGTAGTCTAAATTTAAAACAATTTAAATCGCCAACCAGGTCATGAAATATAAAGATTTTACATAAAAAATGTAACATAAATGACGAAATTTTGTCTTGTAACCTTAACCATTATGCGAAAATTTTGTAGTTAACAAAAATATTTTTTTCTTATTAACTAATTTACGTGATGGGTATTTTGTACTCTGACATGATTTGATTTATCTTGTAAAATCTTTCATCAATTAAAAAAAACGAATTTATTATTATTATTATTATAAGTTACGATGTTCCACAAGTCAAAACCCAATTACGGAACATACGCACATAATTCTACAAGATCTTGTATTATTGATCTAATTACTTTGCACTAACTTTCCCAATTTCAGAATCTTATACAGCGTAGAAAATCAGTTTTCGGCGTTACATACATATAAAATAATTGTTGATTTCTGGATGTAAGAAAATGGTTATTGATTTGGAAATTAATTTGACGTAATAATACAGGACATTATGTCAAATTATGTTCTGTTCTTTATTAAAACATCTTTTCCAATAGAATTTCACTTATTTGAGTTTTTATTATGTTAATGTCAAAACTGACGATCTTTATGCCTACTATGTTTATGTATTTATTAAAAATAGAATTTTGGATCTACGTAAGCTCAGCAAAGTATTGTTGGTTGCATCAAAAATTTTTTCAGGCTCATTATTTCTCATGAATCACTCAGTATATACTGTGTACGTAGGCATTTACTATACAAAATTTTGAGATGCCATCATCAAATTGTTAGTGAGAATGATCAGACAAATTCTAGTTGGCGTTTTACGATATTCCTAAAAATACATATAAAATTATGTACACAATTTACTACACTTTGTGCAAATGAATTTTTGGAAAAGAATCAAAAATAGTGTCATAACAATAACATTTTGCAACTAGTTGATCTTTGAAACCACACAGTCTATTATAGTAAATAATGAATTAAGCACCCTATAACAAAGATGCCGTGTTGAAATTCAGATTTGGCCCTATTTCTCTGATTACGATTTTACGTTTCATTCATCTTTTCCACGATGGTTGTAAATGGTTGTAAAATTCAACGTTATTAGAAAACGCTGATACAAATTTAATTTTTTTACAAAAAAGTTAAACAGTAAAAAATGGTCCCATCAAAACATGAACAATGCTTTATAAAATGTCTCTGTGAAAATTACACCTAACTGCAATAATTACATCGGAGATCAGCCTTAAACCATCAAAACCAATGCAACTAAACTGCCAAATTTCAAATATTTCACATTAAAGTCACTAGATAAACAAAATACCGCAGTTCAATGTTCCAATGTGTAAGAAAGAGAAGTACCTTGCGTTACGCGCCCTCATGCGGTCACAAGACAAACGACCACCCATGAAAACGGGTCAGTAAAGATAGCGAGTTGTCCCTACTGAATGATCTCCATACTGTGGTATTGACAAAGTTATGCAACATAATATACACACACTAAAGGTGACGATTATATTTTCGTTTCGAATCAAATGTGTAATCCAAGATTACATATTAAAACAAATGAAACAAAACATTTTAAGTGAACAAAAATGTGATATTTTAATAAAACAACATTTTGGGCAAAACGTCGGTGTTGACGTTCATTTTTTGTTGCAAAACATACAGGGTGGATCAACTAAAAGGGGGCGCCTCGAATAACTTTTTTATTTATTAGCCAAAAGTAGTTATATTAAATTTGGAAATGGAGAATAATAATTCGCGTGCATACGTAAAATCTTTGCTTTAAAAAAAAGCAATGGAAAAAAGTACATATACTGCAAAAATACCTTTGAACCTTTTTTTTATTTTTCAGATTTTACAGATCTTTTTTATAAAAAAATGTAAAAAATTATTATTTAATTAGTTTCATTATTTAATACTCGTAAATTATTGCAATAAAAAAATATTAATTAATTTTCTAACGTTGTTCGCTATTGCAACTTGACGTAAAATTTGGCAAAATGTTGGACTAGATTGTTCAGAGAAGCATAGGAAAAAGAAAATATTATTTTACAAAAGTAAAAAAAAAGTATTGTTAGGTTGTACGGGTGATTGGAATTGACGTGGGTAAAACTCAACAATTTATTTCTTTACTCGAATTTACACGACTAACTATTGCAACGATTATGTACAGAAATTCTTCCGGCGAATTTCACTGGACGCTCTTGACTCAACTAGCGAACTAGCTGAATAATCCGTTCCCAAAAGGTGGACGCTATTTAAACTCGAAACCCTAGGTCACCGCTTCTAGACTTCTTCGGAATCCCCATTTGCGACTTCCGTTTCCAGGCGTTTCTTTAGCGCTCCGTCGCTCAGCCGCATTAAGGATGACTCATCACCAGCGTAAGACCAGAGAGTTCTCGACGGCCATAGGCGTCGTATCAAAGCGGCTTAAGAGTGTATTTCGTAACAGTATCAAAATAATAAATATTGAACTTTGCGAAGTTTTTTTTCTCAATTTTATAGTGAAATAAAAAATTCAGCTAAATAAAAAAAATTATGACTATCATTTTGCTGTCTATCAATTATTTCATGTTAATCAAGTGAAAAGTTAAAGAACTCATTCGTCTTTATTTATAAACTAAATTCCGTAAACATAGGTTCATAAATAAAAAAGTTATTCGAGTTGTCTCCTTTTAGCTAACTTACCTTATACATTGATTCAGAATTGCTTAACGCATTAAAATTGTCGGGTTAACTGTAAAATTTGCATTTTGTGTTGAGTGAATATTTCCACACCCTTAAAAAATGAACTATTCACATTATTATTTTTATATTTGTAAGTTATACTACGGTATTATAAATGTTACAGTGTGAAGGATTAAAATCAAATGACGAAATAGTTATGAGAACGTGTGAGAAATCCACCAACTAAATAAATTTTGGTTAAAAATCAAGTTTTATTTTTGAATTTGTATTCACCATGCCCCCCAGAACATGTTCGTCACTGTAGCAATGGGTATTAGTAAACAACAAACTTCTGACTCCTCACTTCTCTCACCCCCAGTATGTTTGTCACACTTTTTGTGTGGAAGCTATACTGCATGTAACATGTAATATTTTCAATATCTTTGTTAAGGGTGCCGTCTGGAGGCAAAATATCTGCCTGGTCAAAGTGAGAATAAAACGACCCGGGAGATGCTGCCTCCTGTTAGTGAATTGCTAAAATGTGAATAAATGCAGCACCGATCCGTAGAATTCTACATTTTACTGTACGGAAATAAGTTTTAGTACACAAGCCGCAGTGTCTGTCTAGCCATAATAGTTGCAAACAAAACCCGGGTACCTGAATTTACCCTTGACCGTTCAAAACCGGAAATATGTAAAACTCACTGATTCATTTTCCTATTTTGGCTACAGTTAATTCTTTCCAGTTATTTATTTTGTTTCCGTACTTAAATTGTTTTCGGTAAATATATTAAATATATGTAAATATTAAAGTACCTCCTACTGTCGGGGAATCATCTGTAGATATGTGATTTATTCCTATCAAGGATGTGTTGTTTGTCTGAATTACAGGAACATCATGTAAAGCAAAAATTGGTCGCGCCAAGGTACTATTTACGAACGGGAGGGATTTTCCACATTTGTAGGCTAAATTTGAAATAAGAGAATTAACAATATTTCCGGTATAAGTAAATATTTTTATTATTTTCCTACTATCTGCACTGTCGGACATGCCCATTCATTACAAATAGAATATTTTTGGCGGAAAATTTTTCTTAAACTTAATAATGTATATGAGTTTGGTTTTGTTATTTACTTTATCGTTTGCAACAAAACAATAGTAATAAAAATAAAAATATATTTACCAAGTAAATAACAATAAATTGTTAAAATTATTAGCCGCAATCGTTTGAAAATGAATAATAACGTGTCCTTGGAGCTATTAGCCACATAGCAAAATTTTTTACTTTCTTCAACGCAAATCATTGGTACGTTGTATGCAAGTAATTCTAAGCATTCAACGGTGGTTTTTTATGTAAGTACTAAAATATTCATGTTAATTATTTTGGTGGCTAACTGCATGGCAGAAGGCAGTTTATTTAAAAATTTGACTTTGCTTAAACTGTTTGTTAGTATATCGTTTTGTAAGGATTTAAATAATTAATTTTAAATTTTTAATAGAAGCAGCTGCTATTTTTTATGCATATTAACTTTGACTTGCACTTTTAATTTTACGTATATCATATGCTTGCGCATCGTAAACCTCATTTTTTTGTATAAGGTGTAAATATTTTTTGTTCACTACATATTTGTCATGCTGTTTCGGAAAGATTTAATTTTAAATTTTAGGCTCGAACAACAGCTTGAACGTAATTTTAAATTCGGAAAAAAATTGTTACTCAAATGGAGTCGAAAGCGTGTACAAGGGATAATTTCAGTCCGCAATACCAGTCCCACTTCCGGTGACAAACAAAAGTTGTTAAATTTATTGTAGGTGGTTGTTTACATCTGACTGGTAGAAATGGTAGAGTCCTATGAATGTAATTGTTTGAAATGCACGTAAAGTACCTTTTTTCGGCAAAACTCAGTTTTGGAACAGTTGCCAATGTTACTACCACTTTGTCAGTGTCTGCCTAAAACATAATTTCGGTCGTCCACTTACAAATTATTTGCACTATATTTTTGTTGTTACACCTTATTTTATAATAATGGCTCGTGACAAATTTTATCTACGCAAAAAAAAAACAAACGTGCAATTAGTACAAAAAATTGTACAAACAGTAAAAAAACACATAAGTTTATTGAATCCACTTTTTCCACATACTAAAGAAATAAATACAGATTACGGACCCAACATAGCAGAAGTTTTTATTGATGATCAAGATCTTGAAATGGAGGTTAATCACTTAATAGAACGTTTGCAGGTAATTTTTGTATTAAAAAAATAATAATAAAAATCTATCTTTTGTATTTTCAGATGACCCCAGAAAACATAAAAAATATTGTAGACACAACTAAAGGTCAATACAATAACAAAGCGTATGTTGTTGCTAAAATAAATCGGTTAACGGTTTCCAATTTTGGTGCCGTCATAAAAAGGAAAGAATCTACATCTTGCGATTCATTGGTGAAATCAATTCTTTCAGAAAAGCGTTTTGTGACCGCAGCAACGGAATATGGCAAAATTAACGAACATGTAGCCATAAAGAAATTTGAAGAATTTACAGGCAAAAGTGTAACTTCTGCTGGTTTATATATATATCAACAATGTGCTTATTTGGGGGCTAGCCCGGATGGTATTAAAAAAATTTTATTTATAAAATCCAAATTACTCGCTTATTGCATAGATAAAGCATTACAATGAAATTTTAGGAGTTGTTTTAGTGTCTCTACAAAGTGGCTACATCTGGGAAAAAATTAGAAGAAGCTGTGAGAAAAAAGGAGGTGCCCTATTTACACTATGATGCCAACAATAAAAACATCCAACTTAAACGAAATCATCAATACTTTTATCAAGTATGTTATAAGCTGTGAAACATTAATCCTTTTCCCGTCATAATTCAAACTACAACATTTTTAGATTCAAGGTCAACTGGAAATTTGTGAAAAGGAGATTTGCTACTTTGTGGTTTATAGTGGAGATCAGAATAACCTCCACATAGAAACAATATTTAGAGATCGAAAAATATGGACAGAAATTATGTTTCCAAAATTAGAAAAATTCTATCGCTGCTGTTTGGCTCCTGAAATAATACTGAACAGGAGGTCAAAAAATTTGAAATGTAGAGATCCTCCCTACATAATAGAAGCGCAAAACAAAAAAAAAAGAAAACTTAAGATTTATGTGTATATCACAATTGCGATTATTTAGGAGGTAGTTTATAGTTCGTGTTAATTAATTTTTACTGGTAAAATGTTTACGGTATAAAGTATATTATAACTTTGTGAAATGTGAATCTTTTTTTAGTCATATATATATACTACAAACTATCACATAATTAATAATGCGTTTCACATTTTTTTCCTGCTCCAAATAAAAGATATATTCTTCCTATTCAGCCTTTTATTTCTCCTTCACTCTTTATCCCGTTTATAATGCGGCGTTTATTAATGTATGCCCCATTTTTTGAAGGGATTAGTAATATATAATTAAAATAAGCAGCATTTACAAATATTAATATTGCATGGGTTCGGTTTGACAAGTGTGTGCTGTGAAATTATACTGAGTATTACAATCTGGATAGAAAGTCGCTAACCCGATTTGTTCTGTTACTGTCCTACAGAAGATAATATGCTTTTCTACCTGCCATCAATTCATCTCTTTTTAATCATACCTATATCGGCGTAGGTTGATTATGATTACAAAACTTTGACATCGTTTTACTTCTTTCATCTTCACCAACAACTCAATGACGTTTCAGAGTATATATAATAAAACACGTTTCAATTTTATTTTTTCATAGAGGATAAAAAATAATTAATATAAAACAGATTTATATGTGCTTCAGCTGCGGAGGATTGTAAATACCTTTTGATCTCTTAAATAAAACATACTTAATAACTAACTTTTAACGTATCCATCTTTTTTACTATTTGAGTAAAAAAGATGGATACGTTATTTTGTCACTTCTAAAAACCGAAATGGTATTGTAAAATCGGAAATGCGATATCAAAATTTTATTCCGATAAATCGCTGAGTAAAAACAGCTCCCCCTGGTGGACAAGGTCCACATTAAATTAAGTCTGCAACCAAACCAGAATCTAAGTAAACCTGTATTCTGCTACGGCATCATAGCTCGTTTAATGGCGACTTCTAGTTTCAACAGATTCTGTCTTTTCGAGAGTTATTTACCTCAGTCGTGAATTTTTTAGGATTATAAATGGTATCAAAAGAAAGCTGACACTTTTCCCCAGGGGACCTCCTATCTCAGAATGCAAATCACTTCAGCACTTCTTCAAAAAATGCATCAATGTACCGGTTAAATCTGGTGTAAAAATTGGTCAACTTTATAATTTTTTTTTTTGTAAAAACTGCGGACTAGATATGAATATAAATATGGAGGTCCCCTGGACTCAAGTTTGTTAATTCGAAATATAATTTTTTTAAAGCGATATATCCCGTATTTTTAAAATGCAACTCCGGAAACCACGACGATGTTTTCAATGTATTTAGTATAGGGCGAAACCGATCCAGACGCGAGCTTTAATAAACCGTGCTCCACCGCCCTATTGACTACAACAGTTTTACTGGTTGCCTATTCATCGCCACAGATAAGTTTTTTGAGTTACTAATGTTACTATACACATGAACGTCATCAAATGGTTCTTTATAAAAAATCTATTCTAACAAAATAAAAATAGATATCCGTTTTTTCCTTTTTTCCAGTGATTATTTACTATTTTTATTAGTAATGCACCTACCTTGAAGTCTCGCTCCCTCTGTTTATCCAGTGACAAAGGTTCATCAACAACTGGTTCCTGCAGCTCAGAAATAACCTGACACATATCATGCGTAAAAAATTCGAGATTACTACTGCATTTATGCGCAATAGCCACTAGTTTCTTAGTCAGTTTTAAAGTAAAATTGTTATTTTGTAAAATTTTCAGCGTCAAGGAGTGCATCGTGCGCCTACCCACCTAGAAAAAAATCACATATACTTTGACTCATCTCAAAGAACAAAAAAGTACCTCATCAGAAAAATCATATTTTTCTGCAATTTCAAACAAGTTCAAGAGGTCAAACTGATACTCAAAAAATTTCCATTCGTCCATTTGCTCGGCGGATTTTGCTGTTATCACTCTAGAACGAGAAAAATACAATTTTAAATTTCTTCACAGTGAGTTACAATAAAGATGTATGGACTGTTAAACTGCAAATAAAGAAGCATACTATGTGTATGTTCCAAGTGAGTTTCTCATAATAGAATTTTATAATGGTCCGCTGGTTCTGTCAGTATTATCTTCAAAACTACTAGAGCGATTGTTATGACACTTTACACGTATGTATTTTAGGAATATAGTGTAGATCGTGAAACGCTAACCAAAATTTGTCTAATCATCTCTATCAACAATTTAATGACGCCATTCAAAAATTTTACAACATAAACGCTATTTAAATTTTATAAAATAACATACTTCTATACTTATGGTTTATGAATGACCTCCGACTTTTACCCTAGACGTCCAAATTTTTGAAAAAAAAAAAAAAAACTTAAAATGTTACAGCTTAAACTTAATTCTAAAGTGACCACGTTTTTCTAATAAAAGTGCAAATATTTTGTATTAAAAACTATACAACTAAAACAAAAGTTATAGCGGAAAATATTTGTCATTACTGGAAAAATTCCACAAGTATATATAAATATAGAAAAATATTTTTTGAATTTCAAAAAAAAAAAATAAGTAAACTACCTGTCTAGATAGTGGCAAAATGGCGTCATTTCTGGTAAAATTTCGTTTAAATATCTGTCCATTTCATCTGACTCTCTCAAAAGATTTGTCAAAATATTCCAAAACAGAGTAACATTGTTCGTCAAATGTTCCACATTTATTAATTTCTCTTCATTAATTGGCAACGCCTTAATCAAATCATCAATAGGGTTTTGGCTACAAACAAACTGAATAATTTAAGCACACCTAAGTAAAATAAAATTACTTATAAAACACCCTAATCAACTCCCTGCTCAAATACGTCATTTTGCTAATATCCTCCTCATCAGCAATCAACTTCAACGCCTCCAAGAACTTCAAAAAATCTCCCTTGTATCCTGTCAACCATTTCGGCAGCAAATACTCAGAGAACGTCTTCTTCACTTTCTCGTTTGTCTCCTTAAACCCGCACAACAAAATCAGATGCTTATCAACAATCCGAAAATTCAAAGGTCCTATATCTGCACACCTATGAAATGCCATAGCACGAACACCCACATCTGTGTCTCTAACACGATCCCTGATTTTACTCAAAGTCATCACGTTTGGCGCTATGCGTTCAGTTGCTTCTTTGCGAATTTGTGCACTTCCACTCAACAACGCCCGCAAGTACGCTTGAATCACCGGACACTCAAAATTGTGAGGATCTTGAAGGCGCACCAATGCAGACATCGCAGCCAGACGAATAGGAATCTTATTTTCTTGCATTCGCTCCAGCATTACGCGTTGTATTTCATCGATGAGGTTGACCTCAAGCTGCACTTCTTCGCCGATGTCTTGTAAAACCATTGCAATGAAGTAGCAAGAATTGTATCGGATGTCATAAACGTTTGTTACACTCCACTGGAAGCATAGAAATTAGTAACGGTTGGAAAATAGTACGAGAATACCTCGATTGTTTTTTCGATTATGGGGGTGAGGAACTCGTGGGTCTGGTTTTCCTTCTGTTCCTTTTTTGTTAGGTCTGCACAGAACATGGAAACGAAGTTCAAGACGCGTTTCGTGTATTGACCATTGTCTATGTTTTGACGGACAACGAGTTGGAGAAACTTCAGGAAAAGTTGCATGAATTCTTCCCTTGGTGTCTGAAAATTATGCATCTATGACGAGGTTATGTTTACAAAAATTCAACTTTAGTTAAAGCTGTGATCGCTTCTAGCTTTAACTAGTAGACGTTACTGTTAAAAATAAGAAAGCACAGAAGTTCGTAATGTAGAGTGGTGTTTACATTCTTCAAATTTTAAACTGGAAGCAGATTATAAATAAAGCGCGCTTACCTTTTTGTATATGTCTGTGAGCACTATGACACACTTTTGATGGCATGCTGATGTTGTTTGCACTTTGGTGAAGACTTTTTCAAATTCTTTTGTTGCCATTTTTTGTTTTTAATTAATAATTTTTTCCACATTTAAAATATTTCAAATAACGGTGGTTTGTTTGACGCTTGACGCTATCCCCTCCATTCGCTACTGTCACAAATGTCAAATTTAAATTTTGAAATAGGGCGTGAAGTTAGCAATTCGGAATGATAGTATTCTGTTAACTTCATTATTAGGGAAAGTAAGAGTAAAATAAATTGTGATTGTTATTATAATCGAAGACGCAGATATTTAGGTGCTGATGAAACCAAAATTAAGTTAATTTTTTGCTCATTTCAAAGAAATACCACTAAAGTGGCTAACTTCACGGTTACGCACAAGTTCAAAATAAAAAGATAAAAGAACCAGTGGCAGCGGATGAGATTCGAACCCGGAATTCATAAAATAAATTTACATGATGATCTGACAAAAACGGAAAGAAAAATTCAAATCAAAATAAACGAAGAGGCAACAAAAGAGAGAAATAAAGGAAAAATGGTTAGAATGGGATATAAAAAGTTAACTGTAGGTGGCAGAAAATTTGAATTTTGAACAAGGTAGAAAATTTTTGGTAAAGAGCCAAAAGAAAAGGAAGAAAAGGAGGAAAAATGGAAGGAAACAAGGCAAAGGAATAAAGGATGCAGATCAGGAAATCGAAAAAAGGGAAGCTGGTACAAAATTAGGAGAAAAAGAAATGAAGTTACTGTTTTGGAGTGTCCAGGGGTTACAAAAAAAGGAAAAGGAGTTTTGGGGCTACGTGGGAAAATTTGATGTAGTGGGACTAGTAGAGAATGGGCACAAAGAGAAAACTGGGAGAAATTTGAAGAGACACTACCACAAGAATATGTGTGGAAGTGTCAAGGGGCGACAAAGGAAAAGAAGAAGGGGAAAGCAAGCGGGGGAATAGTAATGGGAATTCGAAAAGAAATGCAAGAATTGGAAAAGGGAAGTAATAATAAAAACGGACTAATGAAGAAAGTAATACAGCTGGATAACAATAGATGGGAAATAATAAGCGTTTATAGCAAGAAAATGGAGGAAACCAAGATAAACATAGAAAAGGAAACAAAAGAAAAAGGAGATGAAAAAATACTTACAGGAGGGGGTTCTAACGCAAGATTGGACGATAAGGGGATAAGAATAATAAATAAAGAAAATGGACAGAAAAGAGGATCAAAAAACAAAGCAAGTAACAAAGAAGGGAAAATATTGTTGAAGATAATAGAAGAAATGAAATGGGAAATTTTGAATGGAAACAAGGAAGGAGATGAAGAAGCAGAATGGGCGTACGTAGGCACTAGGGGAGAATCAATTATAGATTATGGGATTGTCAACGAAGAGGCGTGGGAAGAAATAGAGAGTTTCAAGGTGGGGGAAAGGGTAGAATCAGACCATATGCCACGAGAAATAAAAATCAAAGGAAAAGAGTAAGAGTACGAATAACAAGAGAGAAGAAACGAAAAAAAAGAAATAGAAAAAAGAATATGGCATGAAGAGGGAATTCAAAGATACAGAAGCTATGATAGCAGAACTGATCAACTTAATTGTAGAAGCTACGGAAAAAAGAAAGATATACATATGGCAAGGGAGGAATAATGGATGGAACGAAGAATGTAGTGAGTTCAAGATAAAAGCAAGGGAAAAATTAAGAAAATGGAAGAATAACAGGGGAAGGAAAGAAGAGTACTTAAAAGCAAGAGAGAATAATAGGAGAAAATGTGAAAAAAGAAAAAGAGAAAAAGGAAAAGAAGAAGAGAAGACAGTAAAGTCCCTGAAAACAGAAGAAGTATGGAGATATATAGACAAGGAACGGAGAAGGAAAACTGAAGCCAGTAAGAAAATCAAAATACATGAATGGAAAAGACACCTTATGGAATTATTGGGAGGTTGTGATGAAAAATCCTGCAAAATAAATAAAGGAATCACAACGACGGAAGAAATGTGGAGAGGTTCGGAAATAACAGAAGATGGAATAGGAAGACAAGTTGAAAGACTGAAAACAGGACAGGCACCAGGAATCCAGAACGAAGCGTGGATGTTCGGGCCGTAAGGAGTAAAAGAAAGGATATGGGAAGTGGTAGATGGAGTTTGGAAGGGAAAAGGGTTCCCTCGGCAGTGGAAAGAAGGTATAATAATCCCATTGTTTAAAAAGGGACAAAAAAGTGATGTGAAGAACTACCTTGCTCAATTCAGCGTACAAGATATACGCAATGATACTAGATAAGAGGTTACGAAAAGAGATGGAAGCAAGGGGTATGTTACCAGACGATCAGGCAGGGTTTAGGAAAGGAAGAGATGATTATAAGAGAAGAATGATGATGTTTGATAGTTTGATCAAGAGTGTATTTATGTACGGAGCTGAGATTTGGGGATGGAGGGAATATGAAAAAAATAGAGAGAGTGCAAGAAAAATACTTGAACTGGACATTGGGATTGGAAAAGTATACGCCGGGGTATGTAGTGAGAGAAGAAACAAAAAGGGAGAAAATGAGAGTGGAAGCGGGTAAAAGGGCGGTTGGATTTGAAGAGAAGTTTAGTGAGAGAGGTGATTGGAAAATATTGCAAGAATGTTGGAAAGAAATAAGGAAAGAAGGAGGAAAACATGTTTGGAACGAAAGAGACAAGTATTATGAGGGAAAGGGACATGCATGTGAAGAAATAAAGAGAATGAGAGAAATGGGAAGAAGTATGAAACAAGAACTGAGTGTAAGAAATAAGGATATAGATAAGCAAGAACATAAGCATAGAAAAATAGTAAAGGATGAAGTACCAAAGTACACACACAGAGAGAGAGAGTAGAATAATTTTTGGATGGATGAAACTGACAGAAGGAGTAGGATATGTTGGAGAAAGGGAGAAACAATAGAGCATATGCTGGAAGGATGTGAAGGATTGAGAGAATCGGAGGAAAATAGGGAGGAAGTGCTAAACGAGGATGGAAGAGGACTGGACTAGATGAAAAAAGTACGGAAGATAAGGGAACTAAGGCAAGGGGTCGGCAAGCAGAAAGAATAGAACAATTGTCACTAATCCCCGTCTGCAGAATTTGACAAGAACACAATATAACCGTAGGATTAATGTTTGGGTAGGAATTACTGACCAAACGTTAATTGGTCCACTTTTTATTGAAGAAAATTTGAATTTGAATTCCTTTTTGAAACTGCCTCCTACTGTGGCCTGATAACTACATAGTGCCCCAAATTGAAAACTTAAGTATTAATGATGTTTGGTTTCAAAAAAGCTCCCCCACATTCAACTACAATAATTAATAACACTCATTCTTTACACGAAATTTTTACAGAGCCGTAGATAGGAAGATTTGGGCCAATTGCTTGGCCACCAAGGTCGCCAGATTTGTCTCCGAACGATTTTTTCCTTTGGGGGTCACCTAAAAAATACTGTTTATAATAACATTATGTTAAACGACGTTGAAGAATTAAAAGACCGGATAAGAAATGCCTGCAATGGAATTTCATTGAGAATCACGTACCAATTTAATATGTGTATTTTTTCTTCTGTTTATACATTTTCCAAATTTCCAAATTACATTTTAACAAGTTTAAATATATTTTTTTAATGATCACGTAAGTTCGATGTAATATTAGTTACATACTTCCAATACATTGAGTGGGATTATTCACAAGTGAATAAACAATAAACCCACACACAGTATAACGATCATGATCTATTTACTGTGACCCAAAGTATTTAGACCTCTAATGAATACCTTGTTGTGACCTTAGATCATATAATAAATTATTATATGATCATATATTATTATATGATCTAAGGTTGTGACCAGAGACATTGATTAAATACATATAGATAGACCCATGCTATTGTTTGGAGCGAACAGGCCAACGGCCGGCGAACAAGAGATGGCGCACCAACAGTCGGCCGTCAAACGCCGGCGAAAAGCTTGGACACCAATCGCGCGCGTAGATAACCCAAATCACAGCAACAATACATTTAATAAAGCTACCACTCGACAGAGGACGACGAAAACAATGTGTAAAAATCTCATAGTAAGCATTTATATAATTTGCAACGTTGCCAGATGGGCCTAGCACAACTTTGCCGTTATTTCTAGTCGATTAGATTTTATTTCGTTTAAAAGTTTCTGGTGAATAAATGGAATTATTATAATGAATAAACAATACAAACAAATTATTACTTGTTATTTTAAATACTTGTTAGTGTTGATGAAAACATAAATGGTAATTAAAGTTATTCTAAATACGGTCCGGTCCGGTAGCTCAAATTTTACAGTACGAGTGATATGTTTCAGGACGAGTAGGTAGCCGAGTCTTTAATTTCGAAACGAGTACTGCGAAAAGAGTTACCGGACGTATGTTGTTATGTATTTTATTTCATACTGTCAACATACTTTTTTATTCGATAAAATTATTATTATTTTGAGAAAAAGCCAAATCGAGTCACTTTTTCTGACATCGTTAGCAACCGCTCTTTGGTAAATGTTTTAATTTGTTTATTCGTGCAAATCAGCATCATATGTTTAAACACATAGTACTTATAACACTTTACAGGACTTATTGTTTTGTATAATCCGACTCGATGGACGAATGTTTTGTGCAATCCGTCTCGAAGGACCAATGTTTGTGCAACTCGGCTCGTCCTACCAGTATTTTTTGTAATCTGGTTGATACGACAATGTGATACCGAATTGTACTTTGATATTGCTCCAAGGACCTTTGTTTCCTTGCGTGCGAGATAATAGACAGCGTTCGGTTTCGATGTTTAATACAGGACGGTTACAGAAGTACTAAATTTACATTTGTATTTACAATAACAGGTAAAGCAAAAGAGACCCAAAAGGGTCAGTGGCCGCTTCCGGAAATGGAAGACTTGTCCTTTTTGGCTCAATTTTATCGGACTTGTCCGTTTTTTTTATTTTACCGGAATAGTTCGATCCAGTAAAACGTCAAACTTGACATAGTATGAAGTAAAATAAATAAATTTTATGATGTAAATACAATTAAGTATATCGATAATTCGCTACTGAAAATTTATTGAAATATAATTTGTGTTAAAAAAAGATTTTTGTGGTTTCATGGTTTATTAAATGTAATTAAAATAAATAATATCAAGAACTTGTATTATATATTAAAAACATTCATTGTAAATAAGAAAATTATGTAAATAAACCATAAAACCATACAAAATTTTCCTGCGACTTCTATTCAAAATCCCAGTTTACCAATAGGAATTAAGGCACAAAGATGTTTCACTGAATTTATTACCGATTTTTCAAGAAAAGTATGCTTATAAGCTTATAAGCGTCTAATGGGTTAAAACAACAAATAATAATCACAATTTATTTGTTTTATGTGTTTATTACAATAATCCCATTTATTTACCAGAAACTTCTAAATGAAATAATATCTGGTTGACGAGAAATATCCGCAAATTTGTGTTAGGCTCATCTGGCAACGTTTTCGATAGGTAGGTATCAATGGAATAATGCGATTAGGTATACTGACCGTTTTAAGGAGTGCTCGTCCAATAGTGCGTAAACTAAAAGATTTGGTAAATTTTCTTGGAAGAGTTTGTTTCTTCAATGAAAATGTATGGTATTTAACTCTTCGGCCGCTTGAAAGTCTCGCCATGTGAAAATAGATTATTTGATAACCTGTTTCGTAATAATTGTAAATACGAACAAAAGCATATATGTATTTAATCAATGCCAGAGAACATAGAGAAGCGCCATAGTTTAAATCAAATGACGGTTGAGGACTTCTCAATTTATGTTGATAGCAGTGTTTGTTTCTAACTAGGAACAAAAGTAACTAGAAGAAATGTCATAATATTTTTAACGACGCGTTTTATTTTCGACAAATTGACACTAGATTTACCAGAATATTACAAGCTGCTTACTGTTTCCTTCACTTTCATTCAGGTCACACGAATTACAATTATAGTGCAGCACGGTTTTTATTGGCATCGACTATTTAAATTTGGCGCTTGCCTTTGGCGGTTGGGGACTCCAATGGCAATAAGGGTGGTTTTGCAAAATCAGTCTCTATGTCGCTTCTCTATGTTCTCTGGTTGTGACTCAAACAAATTTACAACGCAACCCAAAATACACTGTACATCTTTCATTGATGCTGTTGTAAACATTTATAGAATATGATTTTACTTCTTAGACAGGAGTTGATTCGGTTTCAGAAACACCATTTCACCAGCATTTTTGATACAATGCATTCAATAGCTTCTCTTGTTTTCTTTTTCCAAGTGATCCACGCTGTGAATAGGTGTCGCATAAGCTTTTTTAGGTGCAGACCACAAAAAATAGTCCAAGGGTGTAGCATTTGGCTTCCTCGGAGGCTAAGGATTGTTAGAAAAGACAACATTAAAGTAATTCCGCACTATGGTGTAATGCGAAAGGGCAACGAACATCCTATATTTTTTACATATTCTTTTAATTATATTGTAAGGATCCAATTCGAATTTTTAAATTTCAAATGAATTTCGCGCGCACAAGAAACGGTTGGTAAGAAGAAGAGGTTGGCAACCAACCTCTCCAAAAGAAACAGACGTGCGCAAAGCGAGGGTGGTTTTGTCTCGGGTAAAACCGCCCACTTCCCTCTGATCGCTTCGAACAAACGGTCGACTTCCTTCGAGCGCTTCGAGCAACAGGTTGTATTTTTAATTGTGAATTATTCTGTGCCTTTTGCTGTTGTGTTTTGTTTTTCCAGTGTTGATCTGTTCCATTGGAAAACCTAGCAGCCCCGTTGAGCCATTGGGTGTTCCTGATTTCTCATCGTTCTTACGACGAGGTTTTTGTGTTCCTGTTGGCGGTAAGCCGTGTCGAAATCTTCGCATCTTTGGAGAGGTATGTTTTGAACACCTGTTTCGCGGCGAGTTTCAAGCCCCGACGATGCTTCTGACCTCGTGACGCAGCGACGCGTGCGCTTGTTTTTCACTAATCTCGTTTTTTTTTATCTTTCATTTAAAATCCATCGCAGTAGGGCTTTACAGGGAGTGATTTTTATTTCGGGCCATGCTTTATTTAGCTATATTTGTGAAATCTGTATTTTGGATGGCGGCAAACGAGTTGTTATTTTCACCGTTCTTTGTTCAGGCAGCGGCCATTTTGAAGCGTCCATTTGTTTCTTTTAATCGAGCACATGTTTTAACTGAATCTATTGAACAAAATTACAACATTGTGGGTCATGGGGGGACGTGCCTTTTATTCCTTTTATTTAGCCCATCGTTTATACAACGCCACAGGATTCATCGTATTTTTGCATCGCATATTTTCGACGCCTATTATTTGGAATGACGAATTCGTCCAACGCCATTTTGCAACTGCAGCTTGTCTGCCATGTTTGTTTATGTGTTCTGTTTGGGGAAATGTATGTGTAATAATGGCCCACAATGCAGCTAAATAATTTCACGTTTGAATTTTAACCAATAACTTGACTGGACACGAATTAATATTAATCACATGTAAATCTGTTAACTTTACAATCTTTCACCTCATGCAATTTGTCTTTGTCTCACAATTTTAGCTTCAGTAATTTTCCTTGTTGTATAATTTGAATTGAACGTAAATTTCCATGCTCTACAGTTTTGACCTAACATAATATTTTATTTGCACAAGCTTATTTCACACCAGATCTTGTTTTTATAAATCTTTGCTAAGTTTTGATCATGTAAATGTTTTGTTGATGAATGTTTCTCTCATATAAATTATCTGATGTCCAAATTTGATCTCAATTAAGAATTATTTGTTGTTGAATTTTCGTAAGAGTGTGTGGCGAATTTAAATGTGGTTTATTGCTCTTTGTTGAAACTTTAACACTTGTTCGGTTGTCATTTAATGTTAGAGTCATAGAGTTTGAACATTTAAATGAAATTAAAGGTAAATGACACATAACTCGTAGTGTACGTGGGGCGCGCGACTCCTTCTCAAACTGACGGGATCAATCGCGGCACCTGCACAAATCCGCGGGTTTGTATAGCTTCAGGGGGCGATCGCGGGTCTTTAACGCTGTCGACTTGGCCCAATAGTCGAGACCCCACTACGGATCTGCGATCGTAACCGCCTCGTTTCGCAGGGCACGTTCGTAATGAAGAGATGCGTGTGAGCAGGCGTTGGTGTAGATAGAATCACCGTCGTGGGGGAGAACAGTGACGATCAGGAGTCCCAACCTCTACTTGCGCTACAACACCCCCTCTGGGTATTTTGCTGTGCTCGTAAATGAAATTGCTATATTTTGTTCTATGTTTTGTTCGATCGCCACACTCTCATAATGATTCGGGTTCTGCCATCCAATTTACATATGTGTAGGTTTTGTGTTTGTTCGGTTTTCATATGTGTATGTCTGTCAATTCGCGAGTGTTTTTCTTTCACATATCTTAAGGTGTTTGACATGTAATATGTCGGTGAATAAAACCCCAGGGGGTTTTGGGGAATGAAGACCGATGACACCTTGGCCCTGCGGACTCGCCAGAAGGGCAAATCGAGCGTCTGTCGTTCTTCGTTTCTTTTTCCTCCTTAGGAAGGCTCCTAATTTTGTCTATTATTTCTTGCGCTCTCGACCGTGTATGCACTTGTATGAAAGAACGTCTTCCCGCCATTTTTCAAAACCAAAAAAAAAAAAACACACAACGTAGGTTCTCATTTGTTAGACGATCACAGCCAAGGCCAAACTTTGAATTTTTGAATTTTTCGCGGGCCTTTCAAACTGTTTCAAGGTCAAATTTTAAGGCGGGAAGTTTGGGTTATCACAATATAATCCTAGTTTATTTTTGAAATTATAAAATGAGGTTGTCACGTTATTCCAATTTTCTTGAATTTTTTTAGCAAAGCAAATGTTAAAAAAATCGCAATAACAATTTTCAAGTGGAACATCCTGTATTTTGTTTTCACATATTATACATTTGTTTTTATTCCCTTTATTTTTCTCTATAGGTAATTACCATGGATGAATGAATATAATAATATATTCTTTCCTCCATGGATAAGGACAAACGTCTATCAGTGCCAACGGCGTTAAATTAAAGACATGGCTCCATTTACTTTCCGTTATTTTTGGCGCGTCCGCTACAGGCGCCACCGCACACATGCCCTAGTTTAATATGGAAGCTTAAGGAAACTTGAATGTTTTTTTTAATTAACTCAAAAAGGATAAAAAGCCGTATCAGGTGTAAAAGTTGTCTGGTTTGCGATAAATAAAACTCTAGTTCATAGTTTAAGGTTACTTTTTATTTCAGTACAAGTAATTGAATGTTAGCAATGTGAATTCTTTTTAGAACTACTTTGTTAATTAAAAGTTACTGCGTTTCAAATACAAAAAAAAATAAGACGTTTCTCAACATCACTGCAGATGGAAAAGGTCACAATTTTATGTCACTTAAACAAAAATTAAAAAATATACACTTGACATGGGTGGAAAAATGATTTTCAATGTGGATTAAAATTGTATACAATGCTTTGCTAGGAGGTTTTAAAAATCCATACGATTTAACGTTTGTCATGTTGCCAAAGCAGTGAAATTTTCTTCTTATTGAAAAGCTGTAGTACATTGCCCGCAATCCTTCACTGATTTTAACTTCAACAATTTTCGAGAAACCCATCCTTAACTTCAGGTGCTAAATAGTCATGTTCATTTGGAGTAAAATCATCTGATCCCCACTCATCAGCAACACACATAAGAATGTAGAATGTCTAATTTTTCTTGAAGCCGTCTTACGTGGTCTTGACGGAAACCTTCTATTTTCGGTCCCCAAATAGATTTCAAGTCCGGTAACGTAATTAATTTGCTTTGGCTCGTAAAATGTGTTCCATTTTGAGACGCAAACGTCGAATTGTCCTTTGCAAAGATTTCTTGTCTGCAGTCTTTTTTGTAACCTGACTTTTCAATGAACGAGACACTTTGTACAAATATCTGCATTTTATACAGCATTCTTGTTTTTCTTTTAACAGATATATGCAATTATTATGTCTCCATCGACTTGTTGTACTATCAAATTTGGCAATTCTGCTGTTTTTAACATTATACGAATTTTCTTTTGGACCGCCAATGCAAATATCTGATGACATAAATTTCTTCAAGGTTTCTTCAAATAAAATCACATTGCTTCCAATATGTTCAAAGTTACTTTCAATATTCACTTCTACGCAATTTACAAAAAAATGTAACTGAAAATTTTCATTCACTAAAACGTGGTGCACATTTGGCTTCTGGTTTTTGATACGTGTTTTTGAAAACATTACATTTTTAGTGTCACCCTCACTGTATGTGGTAACCTCACAAAAAGGTGGCAACTGAAATGGTATATTTCCTTCCAATAAATCCTTAAAAGGGTTTTTAATGACATCTAGATCTTCAACTGTTTTATCTACAGGTTCCAAATTTTCAAGTTGCTCAATTTTTGCCCTTTTCAATGGAATTTCAAGTCTTTCTATTATCCTCCTTTTCGATACTGTTGTTGTTGTTAAATAACCAGGACACTTGGGAAATATTGTTGGTATTGCCCCATGTTTTAATTTTGGGCGCTTATACGGAATTGAAATCTGATCAGAAACCAAATAAGGTATATAAGCATTAGGTACTCAATACGTTCATGTAATGTACTTACCGAACCAGAATTCCATTCCTTAATTATCTCTGACGAAGTAAAATGTCTTTCACACACAACATCACGGGATGTGAGATTTCTATCTCCTTTGGGTATTTTTCTTTCCCAGATTTGGAACAGATTTTCATCATGTGGAGCACGAAATAACGAAAATTTACCTGTTTCACCTTTGTAACCTGTACGGCACATTGGCACAAAACACTTGCCACTTCTTGTAGTCATCTTCGTTTGCTACTTTTTTTAATAAAATTACCAAGTTTTTGTCATATATATATTACAAATATTTCTTGAAACAAGAATAACACCGCTTTATTTCAGTGGAAAACGTGGGCTAGTAATACGCAGCGCCACCACGAAAATAAAACCGAGCCACAGGCAGGTTCCTCCACATAGAGGTGGGACGGGTAGTATCTATTCGTTACAAAGTATTCGGTACACGATGAGACCCGAACTACCAAGTATCGAAGTTGAAAAGTAATCGTTACTATTCGTCAATGATTACTGATTTCGAGTATGCATTCTGGATTCAAATATTAAGGAATCAAGAACCGATTGCCGAAATACCGAGAACTACCGACCTCCTAAACCTATAAATCAAATACCCTTACTTTTATTTACTAAGACTTCGCTTTCAAGTTGAGTTGAATGTTGACTATAGAAAAAGGAATAAGTTAAAAATAATGCGGCCTTTTGTTAGTTCGGGCCACGGTTGTAGAATAGATAGGTTTGTACCAGAGATATGTAAAAGACTAGATACAGACATTTAATGTTCTCGTGGACATACGTTTAGGGCCAAGATGTCACTGTACGTTTATATCTCCCTCTTTTTCTCTAGCACGTATAAAGGTAACCCGATATCTGAAGGTCTCGCTCTGTACGGCGCAACCAATCAGTTGGCGCAACGTTTGTCGTTGATGCCGTTCTTGTGTTTGTACCGGTCCCTGTCAGACCACTCAGACTGTGGGTGGTTATGATTATTTATAATTGCCGCCATTAGAACGGGCCAATAACAAGACAACCACCTTTTAGAGAGTGATCGATGTAGCCTACACTTGGCATTCCATAGTACTGGTGCTGATATAGAAAAGGATAGGCGACACAAAGTATTGCTACTCTTAGATCATAGATGTTGGCCCTAGATCGGGAAAGCTATAACCGCATCTGTCTTTTACATATCTCTGGTTTGTACACTAATGGCTTGGGATGGCGACGCTTCTTTTCGATCCCTATATCCATGGAAAGGACACATACAGCTAGCGCCTCTACCTTGTCGAGCGGAAATCATTCTAGTTATTTTGGGGATTTTCGTTTACATATGGTTTACATTGCTTTATGAACCAGAGATATGTTACATATCTCTGTTATGAACAATGTAAAATTTGTAAATGACATTTGATCGGAGTCGATAAGTACGATTTCTTTTATTAATTACATCGGTTATAGACAGATGCCTATAGAGTTCTGTGTCCCTAAAACGTCAAAAACCAGGCGACGCGATCGGCAATTGGCGTCGCTGACCAGGGATATGCAAATGTATGCTAGTGTATCAACCTATCTATTCTACAACTGTGGTTCGGGCCTTCGGGTCTAACTCTTGATTCTCTCTAACTAAAATTTAATGAAGTAACTAAAGTTACTAAATAATAATAGATTTATAAAGTAAGTTTTTTGTTCTTGTTTTTTTTTTTAATTCTATGTAATATTATTTGATTTATTGTTGTATTTTTTTACGATTTAAATATATTTTTTGTATTATTCCATAAATTATTAGATATTTTCATACCGCAATAAAACCAAACCAAATCGAGTTTAATTGAGTAATCAATACCCGAAGTAACGATTATAAATAACGATTACTTTTTTAAAAAGTAACGAATACGTACGAGTACACCAAAGTATAGTGGACCAAGAGTTATAAGGTTATATGGCCATCATAAAATCATCCCATTGTGTCGAAGTGAAGTTGTTTACAATAGAAAAGGTTTTAGGGTCGTAAATAACCTGTCCACTGCAGCTCGACCGGCTATTTTCGTTTCGTTCAGGGGCGGCTTTCACTAAATATGAAAATCCACCACTCCACTATTTCTTTACTACCTGCAGCCGCTGAGGGTTCCGAAATAACCACTCGCTCTGAAAGCCGGCCCTGTTAAATGTGAGCAATAAATGTTTAGAAGACGATTTATTGCTAACCGGTAAGCTTAGTGCGAACCACACAAAGGGGGTATTTATTTGCGGTCAACTACTTTTATGATGGTCATATAACCTTATACCTTTTGGACAAGTATAACGATATTTCCCATCTCTACCTCCACAGTTCATGGCCACTTTTCGACTTTTCGCGGGTTTACAAATTTTGTGCGCATGTTTCAATTTTGGCGGAATGTTTGGCTTATTACAACGCTATTGCCGAAAAATTAATTAAACCCTGTGTTAAAGACATAATAACCTGTAAGCTTGCTGCAAAATATGTTAAGGTTCGCGTCTGGTACGGTTTCGTCCTATACTAAATACATTGAAAACATTGTCGTGGTTTCCGGAGTTGCATTTTAAAAATACGGGATATATCGCGTTAAAAAAATTATATTTCGAATTAACAAACTTCAGTCCAGGGGACCTCCATATTTATATTCATATCTAGTTCGCGGTTTTTACAAAAAAAAATTATGAAGTTGACCAACTTTTACCCCAGACTTTAACCGGTACATTGATGCATTTTTTGACGAAGTCCTGAAGTGATTTGCATTCTGAAATAGAAGGTCCCCTGGGGAAAAGTGTCATCTTTCTTTTGATACCATTTATAATCCTAAAAAATTCACGACTGAGGTAAATAACTCTCGAAAAGACAGAATCTGTTGAAACGAGAAATCGCCATTAAGGGGGAGCTGAAGTAGATTTCGGTATAGGGGAAATAATGCAAAACGGGGCACGTGTATATACATATAATCTACGGAAAATACTCTACAGATCTGCTTTTTAGTTTTTTGAAAAAACTGTATTTGAACATACTTTTTAAGCTTTACAATTCCTGAAATTCTGAGTGCTTTTATTTTTTACTTATGACTTGTAAGGAAAATTTCCAAATTTTACTTACAGACATCTGTAGTAAATTTACTCTGGAGTAGATATGTTTTTGAAAAATGAAAATCGGATAATAAATAAACTCTAAAACACATGCCGAAAAAACAGATTCGGAAATATTTTTCAAGCTGAGTAATTGTCTGGTTTAGTGGGGATGAGAGCAGGTATACGCCTAAAGAGCTTAACGCCATCACTCATAGATAAACGGATTAAAGTGAAGAGGCCAGTTGTGTTATGATTCAGGAGATTTTTTTACTAGAAATTATTTAGCTAATTTTCACAGAAATTCAGATTTTATTTTCTTCTTACTTTTGGTCTACACAGTGATTGGTCAGAGGATCCTAACATTAGTCGCGCAACTGAAAATTTTACATTTTTAGTTTAGTTGCTGTATTTGTAGCAATATACAAGTGGTAACAGTTTGTGGTCATTTTATCAATTTGAAAATGTATCTGTTCATTAGTATACTGCATTTAGATAAACAGGTATGTACGTTTGTACGTATTTCACAAGTTAAATATCTATACAGTAGAAACTTAAAAATCATAAAAAGTTCTAACAAAATTTCTTTCTGTTAATAGTATAGATTGATCATATCTTTTATGTTTATTGCTAACTCAGGGGAAAGATTTTATTACTCACACGTTACATCTTTCAAGTAAAATAGAAATAGATTTAATATTTTGGAAATATAAATTTTTACAAAAAAAAAATAAAAAGATTTCTTGTTTGAGAGTCGTCATTGTCATTTTCTTCAACAGGAACTCCATAGTTGGCGGAAAAAACTTTTTTAATTTTAATCGCCACACACGTATTATATTTTAAAATACATTATTTGGTAAAAAATCTAGCATAATCAAATGTTTATATTCATATACCTATAGCTGTAGAAAAACTTTCAAAAATTTTCACTCTTCAAAAAAAAAAAAAATAAATAAATAATTTGCCATTTAAAAACATGTCAGTGACAATATAATTTAAAACAAAAGACAATCAACATACAATTTTTATGTGGCGATGTACAGTTGCAACCCCCCAAAACTGCACGATTTTTCGTTGTCATGGAATTTTTTGAATTTTTAAATTAATGTAAGTCTGGCTATTACCAGTAACGTAGCATTTTTGAATAAACAAAATGTCAAATTTGACAAACTTTTTTATTCGAACGCCCATGATTTGAACATATATACATTTACAAAAGAGAAAATTATCGTGTACTTTTGGAAGGGCGCAACTGTACATGTTGAAAATATTTAGAAAATCGAACTTAAAAATTTAAATATACATACCTATCAAAATTAAATGCAAAAAATTTTACTATAATGTCTGTTTTTTCAAGCAGAATGCCTCGTTTTACCATAAAATGGACAAAAAGAGTAAATAAGGAACATGCATATTATTACCAAATGCCAGTTGCACATAACGAGGAAATCTTGTATTTTTGCCATTTGGACACTCAAAGGGGTAAAATTACATACGTTCGATATGACGAAGAATTTTGTAAAAAAATGGTTCTAAAACTCCAAAAATTTTATTACGGATGCGTTCTTCCGGAACTTGTTGATCCTAGGAGACGTAGGGTATTATCTATTCGAAATCCTGATTATATTTTAAAAGCACACAGAGAAAAAAAATCACTAAAAGTTAAAAAACAACGAGCTATGATGTCGTAGCAGAATACAGGTTTACTTAGATTCTGGTTTGGTTGCAGACTTAATTTAGTGTGGACAATGTCCACCAGGGGGAGCTGTTTTTAATCAGTGGTTTATCGGAAGAAAATATTGATAGCAGCATTTCCGATTTTACAATACCATTTCGGTTTCATTGATGCCGTTTGAATACTGGTTTTTAGGAGTGACAAAATAACGTATCCATCTTTTTTACTAAAACAGTAAAAAAGACATACGTTATGTTAATTATTAAGTATATTTCATTTAAGAGATCAAAAGTTATTTACAATCCTCAGCAGCTGAGGCACATAGAAATCTGTTTTACATTAATTATTTTTTATCCTCTATGAAAAAATAAAAGTAAAACGTGTTTTATTATATATACTCTGAAACGTCATTGAGTTGTTGGTGAAGATGAAAGAAGTAAAACTATGTCAAAGTTTTGTAATCATAAATCAACCTACGCCGATATAGGTATGATTAAAAAGAGATGAATTGATGACTGGTAGAAAAGTATATTATTTTCTGTAGGACAGTAACAGAACAAATCGGGTTAGCGACTTGCTATCCAGACTGTAATATTCAGTATAATTTCACAGTACACATTTGTCAAACGGTACCTATGCAATATTAATATTTGTAAATGCTGCTTATTTTAATTATATATTACTAATCCCTCCAAAAAATGGGGCATACAGACAACCAACAAAATTTAAACAGCTCTAAAATTTAAGGTATTTTACAAGCATTTCAAACAATTACATTCATAGGATTCTACCGTTTCTACCAGCCAGATGTAAACAACCACCTCCAATAAATTTAACAACTTTTGTTTGTCACCGGAAGTGGGACTGGGTCTGTGGACTGAAATTATCCCTTGTACATGCTTTCGACTCTATTGAGTAACAATTGTTTTCCGAATTTAAAATTACGTTCAAGATGTTGTTCAAGCCTAAAATTTACAATTGAATGTTTCCGAAACAGTATGGCAAATATGTAGTGAACAAATAGTATATTATTAGATAAATTTGAGAAACAATATAAAATAGATGCTATGGCGCGAGATCGTGGATTTAGGGTGATTAGACTTCCGCCGTACCATTGTATATTTAACCCCATCGAACTAATCTGGTCGCAAATGAAAAATAATATAAGAAGGAATAATACGGCACCAAAATTTAGTAGTGCAACAATTGACATAATTAGGGAAGAAGCTTCCAAAATAACTGCCGAAATGTGGGCCAATTGTGTACGACATTCCACAAAAGAAGAAGACCCATGCAGGGCCCGGTTGATAACACCGTTAATTATTGATTTAGAAGAGCCGAGTGATGATGACAGTGACTATTTCGATCAATAAATAAGCAGTAGTAGTTAATAAGTAAATAGTTGTGCTGTAATAAAAAATGATTGAGTACAAAGTTACTTTGTTTTTACTTAAAATAAAAAACTCGAAAGGCGCAGTTGTCGGTAAATGCAAAACTCAGTCCTGCCCTGTGCTTTTACCAGAAAAGGTCTTTTCAGGTAGGTATCGGTGAGCGGATTTAAGACATCCGGTTGTGACGGCCTATTGAATTATAATGGGAGTCAAATTGGTATGAAGTCATAAACGCCAAATATGTTTGAGGGAACTCTACCAAAACTTATTTCCGTACAGTAAAAAGCAGAATTCTACGGATCGGTGCTGCATTTATTCATATTTTAGCAACTCACTAACAGGAGGCAGCATCTCTCGGGTAGTTTTATTCTCACTTTGACTAGGCAGATATTTTGCTTCCAGACGGCGCCCTTAAGGAAATTGATACAATACCACTGGCAATACCTCTCGCTGATACTACAATCGCAAGACACATTGAGGATTGAGGCAATGTCATCATTTTGTGAAGATACAATTGGATGAAACAACAAATGTTGCTGGACTGACGATTTTGACACTTTTGGTCCGTTATGTTTGGAAATCTACCATTGAAGAATATATGCTTTTTTGCAAACCTCTAACAGAGAGAGCTACTGGTGAAAAAATTTTCGAACTATTAAATAAATATATGGAAGACCATGGCTTAACTCGGGATCTATGTTCACATATTTGTGCAGATGGAGCAAAAGCATTATTGGGCTCAAAGGGGTGGCCTCACGAATAAAAGCAATAGCTCCACACATGAAACATTCTCATTGCTGCCTTCATCGTTATGCACTCGTGGCAAAACGAATACCAAAACTATTAAAAGATGTTTTGGATGAAGTTGTGAAAATTATTAATTTCATTAAATATTTTAGGAATTAAACTCAAGATTATTTACCTTGCTATGTGAGGAATTATTTAATCATAAAACCTTACTCCTATATGCACAGGTGGGTTGGTTATCGCGAGGGAAAATCTTGAGCCGATTGTTTGAATTAAAAGATGAAGTAAGAATTTATTGGAATGAACGAAATATTAAATCATCAAAACTGGTTACAATTGGCAGCCTACCTGGCAGACATTTTTACAATACTCAATGAAATTAATACATCCCTTCAAGGACTCACGATACATATTATCAAGGTTTCGGACAAAATTAATGCGTTACTATTAAAATTAGATATGTGGGAATCAATTGAAAGAAAGAATAATGTAGAATGTTTTGTACAACTCAATAATTTTCTAATTGAAAATGAACTAGAATTAGGCTACAATGTAAAAACATGTATTTTGGAAAATCTTGTCCAATTAAAAGCGACTTTCAAAGAATATTTTCCAAACGAAATAATCATGACTGGATTAAAGACCCATTTAAAAATTATAACAAATCTGATGATTTACCAATTAAAAGAAAAAGAACAGTTAATAGATTGCCACCGATTGTAATTTGCTGTCAAAACGTGGAGAAGATCTACTTAATTTTTGGCTTAACATTGCAACGGAATATCCAGAAATTTCCAAAAGGGCTACACCAATTTTAATGCCATTTTCCACTACGTATTTACGCAAAAAATCGTTTTCGACGTACGTTGCAACGAAAACTAAGTACCGAAATCGATTAAATGCAGAAATTGAAGTGCAACAATAGAACCCAATTTCAGTCTTATGTGAAAATACACAAGCACACCCAAGCCATTGAATTGGAGGTGAGGTATAGTAAAATAAAGAAATCTTTGTTAAATCTAAATGTTTTTCAATATACATATTATCACCGACTTTTTTCCAAAAATTTACGTAAAACATGAAAGTATTAATATAAAATTAATAAAATGTGTTCATTACAATATCAACTGTTACTAAATGTAAGGAACCACTGGGTGTTAAAGTACAGTTCTGATTTAATTAAATTTCAAATATATATGAAATGTGATGCTCTTTGGGTTTAACTCAAAATGACACAACTTTATCAAAAAACGAACAAGTTAATTTAAAAAATTTATTTTCTTAATTTACAAATTAAGCTGATAAAACGCAAGCGCCTCCGACAGCTTTAATTTTATCTTCTGCTGACTTGGAAAAGAACTTGGCTTTAACGATAACAGCTTGGTTGGGAAGTCGTCCTTTCCCCAACAACTTGTAATACCCCTGTAACAAAACCTTCTATCACTACCACTACAAAAATAACACTCACACACAGCAAACACCCATACACAATCAGTGAAAGAACCATCAGCATCAAATTAAGACCGCCCGTTCAAATATCATCATTAAACACACATAACTCTTATTAACCTAAACATACTCACAGCCTTAACGATATCAATAACTGGGGCTTTGCCTTCTGGGTGATCCTTATACTTCAACCTTGTCTGTTCACTGACAAGAGTCCACAACTTATCTAGATTGATAGCTGGGGCCCATTTCGTGTTTCGTCGTAAGTGGTAATTTCTCATACCCAACTGCAATTACATCATTAGAAACGTCCATGAAAGTGATAGCTACTAACCTTTCCGAAGTAACCTGGATGGTACTTGTCAAAATTGATTCTATGGTGGTGCATGCCGCCAGCATTACCGCGACCTCCAGGGTGCTTCCTATGTTTACCTACAAAAAAATTCGTTATTCGTGTTCGCACAAGCAAGTAATTTTTAATGTATGTGAATGGGAATCAGTTAAGAACATGAATCAAAGTTAGGTCATACCGCCCGTTCGTAAATCATCATTAATTTTAGTGAGTGTATGGGGTTATAAAAGGTGTTCTACATACCAATACGACCATGTCCATGGCTCACGTGGCCCCTGAGCTTCCTAGTCTTCTTTCTGTGAGTCGACTAAAACATAACCATAAATGTTAAGATTTGTCAGATTTTACATAAATTTGTAAGAAAAAGTGAGGAACACATTGATGTTAGTTTAAATTTAATAATGCAAGTAAGTTTAAAGGGTGGATGACTTAGATTTTTATGAAAATGTATGAAGATTGTAAACACAGAAACACTCACCATGTTGGAAAGAAATTGTTACGATCGAAAAGGTGGCAGCACGGGCGAGCAGGAGTACCAACACAAGCTGTGTCACAACAATACAGAGACGTATTCAGTGAAGATGGATCGGGCACAACGTTTTTTCAGTGGATTATTAAACATTTGACTAATAACTAGTAAAATTATAAATTTAGTAAGAAAGAAAGAAAGACAAACAAATACAATAATAGATTCAGTTGCTGTTTGTTGTGCAATAGCTTTTTTAAAGGGATTGAGAAAATGAGCGAAATAGATTTAAATTTCCTGTAATGTTACCGTTTTTACTTTCATTTTCAGTTTATTAGAAAATTTTCTTTCGTCAATGCATTTATTAAAAATGAATACTCTTAACAGCAGTGAAATTCGGTGGCATGCCCCACGATTTTTAAAATTAATTTAATCTTACCTAAGCAACAGAGTTAATTATGTGTTATAGTAGTAATATTAATTTATTATTTGCATTACAAGCTTAATAAGCTCCCCAGTAGGGGCACAAATTAACTTGATCTACATAATACTGAGAATATAATTCTTGTATCACATGACCCCATTTCTTCCAATAGAATTTGTTCATGTCCTTAGTTACATGTCTATCACAGCGATAATAATTTTATTGCCTTATTGTGGTCTGTTGCTACCTAAATTTAAAAACTGTCAAATTTGACAAATTTTAAAATTTCATAAATTTTTTGTCTATTATGGCTTGCCAACGTTGGGGGCAAGCTCAAAACGACGAAATCAATTCTATTATCAAAAAATCTGTTCATTTATTATATTCTCATGTTGAATATAACTCGTGATATGATTAATAATCGAAGATATGACTCGTGAAACCGAAGCAGCACATTCAACTCGTGCTTCCCACTCGTTGAATCTGCAGCTCGGTTTCACTCGAAATATTATCGACAATAATCATATCACTTGTTATATTATAACTGATAAATCAATAAAAATAAATAAAATAAAATAAATATTCGAGTTTTATACATATAATAATAATTGTTCTATTCTTTCTGCTTGTCTACCCCTTGCCTTAGTTTCCTTATCTTGCGTACTTCTTTCATCCAGTATCCAGTCCAGTCCTCTTCCATCCTCATTTAGTCCTTCTTCCCTACTTTCCTCGGATTCCCTCAATCCTTCACATCCTTCCAGCATATGCTCTATTGTTTCTCCCTCTCTCCAACATATCGTACACTTTCTGTCAGTTTCATCCATCCAAAAATTCTCTTCATTTCCACATCTAAATCTCTCTCTCTCTCTCTCTCTCTCTCTCTATGTGTACTTTGGTACCTACTTTATCCTTTACTATTTTTCAATACTCTGCATTCTCGATCTGCGTTTTTGCTTATCTATATACTTATCTCTTATACTTCTTCCCATTTCTCTCACTCTCTCTATTTCTTCACATGCATATCCCTTTCCTTCATAATACTTGTCTCTTTCGTTCCAAACATGTTTTCCCCCTTGCTTTCTTATTTCTTTCTAACATTCTTGCAATATTTTCCAATCACCTCTCTCACTAAACTTCTCTTCAAACCCAACCGCCCTTTTACCCACTTCCACTCCCATTTTCTCCCTGTTTGTTTCTTCTCTCACTATAGTGGAAAAGTATACGCCGAGGTATATATATATACCTCGGCGTATACTTTTCCAATCCCAATGTCCACTTCAAGTATTTTTCTTGCACTCCCTCTATTTCTTCAATTTCCCTTCATCCCCAAATTTCAGCTCCGTACATAAATATACTTTTGATCAAACTATCAAACATCATCATTCTTCTCTTATTATAATTATGTCCAAATTTTCTTTCTCCTATTCCCCATACTATTCCTATCACTTTGTTCGCTTTTCGGACCATTTCTTGAATTTGCGCTCTATCTGAGTTATATTGATTGTTCTTTAATGTATACCCTAAGTACTGGAATTCTTTCACCCTTTCAACCTCCTTCCCTCTCCAGGCCCACTCTTCCTTCTCCTTTCTTACTTTCTTCCCAAACACCACCATCTCTGTTTTTTCCACATTCACTTCTAATTCCTTTTTTTGTACGTTCTTCTCGAAACTTTTAATCATTGTTTATATTTCTTCTCTTTTCTTTGCCACAATCACCAAATTATTCGCGTACGCCAATGACCACACTTTCTCTTTGCCCCCTACCAACCCTCCTGTCTGTGCTTTTCTGAACATTTCGTCTACATATATCTCCTAGATAAGCTGCAAACAATGCGGGGCTGAGTGGGCATCCCTGTCTCACTTCTCTATTTGTATAAAAACTCTCGCTCTCTATTCCATTCACTCTCGCCTTACTTACTGTTTCTTCATATATTTCTTTCATTTTCATTACCAGGTACGCATCTACTCCCTTTCTCCTCAAATACTCCCACATTTTCTCTCTATTCACGCTATCAAACGTTGCTTTGAAATCTACGAACAATGCGTACTATTTTGATTTTCCTACTGACTTCAGTCTTCCTTCTCCGTTCCTTGTTTATATATACTTCTTCTTCTTCTGTTTTCAGGGACTTTATTGTCTTCTCTTCTTCTTCTTCTCGCTTTTCTCTTTTTCTTTCTTCCCATTTTCTCCTATAATTCTCTCTTGCTTTTAGGTAATTATGTGTTATATAATGGGTATAAATCAAATCCGTATACACCATCATTTTATGTACCTCAAGGTTCCAACTTGGGACCCCTACTATTCATTATTTTTATTATTAATCTACTCACGTCACTTGTAAAGATACGTGTCCACTGGAGAGCAACTCTCACGAGAATTCTGATTTTAATTTTATACCATCCTTAATGTTAAGTTGTCATTTCAAATTTCAGAGGTCTATTATTGCAATGAATTCAGTTATTACGAAAAAAATACATTTAAAACAGACTTATTGGAGATCACTGGGGAAACCAGGTAAAAACGATACGCTTACCCAGTTGAGGGCAGGGCCGACCATAGCTTTACGGGCTGATTTTGCAATTATTTCTCGCAAACGCCATCTCAAGTGGACACGTACCTTAAGAAACTATAGTCCAGTTAAATTAGCGATCAACCTCGAAATGAGAGATAATAAGCTGAATTTTCGTACGTACCTTCATTTTGGCGTTCTAAAAGTTGTCTCAAAAGACTCATAAAATCTCGTGTCTGCATCGTAAGTTATTCAACGTCAAATGTAAAAAAAAAACAGTTTTACCAAATGTTTTGGTAAATTAAAATTTTCTCTTACCATGATACTATTTTTTTTTTAAATGTTGATTGCTGCGGGATTTAAATAATGTGGTTTCAATATTTTGTAAGCAGTAGTGACCGTAATGTTTTTAAAGCAAAAATTCTGTAATTTTGTACAATTTTCTAATTGATTTCTATTTTGTCAGAATGTTTATAAAAACATTCTAAAATTTTACAATTTTCAAACATCTATATTTCGGTTTTTTCAAATAGAACGCTGTGTATTTTAGTATTTTATATTACTCTATTTTTTATTCTCATTCAGGTAAGTAATAAAAAAGGAAAAAGTTTTTCAGGAACTATCAATTTTAAATATAGAAAATACTGAACAAAAAGGAAATAGAACAAAAAAATAGATTAATATGCAGTAATAAATAAGTACAATAATAATTATTTTTTTTTTATAACAAAGCCTGGATCTTTATTTATCTTTCCATAACATGTGGTAACACAGATTTAATTTTTTTTTCATTATCTACGATTAAAAAAACGTTATAGTGAGACCACCCACCCACCCCTTTTCTTTTTAATCAGAGAGTTTATTAAAAAGTGGATTTTGTATTGATAAACAATGAAATCTAGAAAAAAAAAGTAAAATAAACTCCACCCACCTTCACTTCTTGATTTCACAGCCTTATTGTATTTACTGCCAGATGATGATTGAATTTGATTTTGTCAAGTGGTCCAATCTTCAATTAAAAAAAAAATTCAAAGTGGCCCCGCCCACCCACCCGGTTTTCTTTTTGATCACACATTCATTGGACAAAAAGTGGATTCTAGACAAAAAGGATAAAAAAATACGGCTCCTAAAGTTAGAACACAGTACATTTTATTTTCTTCACGACAATAAATGTTTTTATAACACAACGTCTGGTCAACTTCTAAGAACAAACAGTTTGTCGTACAATTTCGGTGTTGCGGGGAAAATAACGTGTGTGTGACAGTACCACGTGTTTCTTTTATTTGATACAACCCCTGTAACTTTCTTATTTTTAAAGATAAACATATAGTTCTTTGACCAAATTTGTATCATTTTAAAAGATCACTTATGTGAATAAATGACATGGGTGTCAATTTTTCAAGGTACTACACTGTCATCAATAAATATGAATTTTTCGTCTATTTTAATGAATAACTTTTTAAGTTTTGATTTTAGAGTATTGGTTGCTTTTGATTTTTCAGAAAAAAATCAGTCTTTCTATTTATGAAAAAATATACCTAGTGTTCCATAAAAAAATAAAGCTGACGCCATTTCCAGTTCTACCGGGAGTGATAATAAAAGTGTGAGGTTGGCATCACATAGATCTTTTAAAATGATACCAATTTGCTCCAAGAACTACAGGTTTATCTTTAAGAATAAAAAAGTTACAGGGGTTGTATCAAATAAAAGAAATACCCTGTATATCGAGCGCTCATTTATGAGAAAATAAAGAATTTTGGGAACTTACAATACTTTTATTTTACTTCCCTTAAATACAAACATTTTCAATGATAGAAGTTCACATAATACAACATACCATAACTGAATATTGTCAATACAAAATTAATGCGGTGGAGGTGGAACGGGTAAAACCGCTCCCATCAATGGTGGTGGAGGCGGAATTGCATTAAACATAGGCGGCCTCGGTGGCGGCGGCACTGGAATCATGGGCGGAGGCGGCACCCCTCCCATCATATTACCAGGCCTAGCAATGATAGTCGTCGGTTTTTTCGCCTCATTCTTAAACGCAAACTGCAAGAAAAACTGCTTCGTGTCCCTATTCCAATGCGTCCAAAATTTATTATCCATTTTCTCCACCTCTCGACTGGGCACTTTAAAAGCAATAGTCTCATACGGCTCCGCCGCGAACAGCAAATACTGCCATTTACGATCAGGAGGCTCAATTTTTTGTTCATACGCTGACATGAATCTGTGTCTGGGTAAAACGTTGTCCGTAATTTCAGGATAATCGATCTGGAAGAGCAGGCTCTGTTGGCCGGTTTCAGGATCTCTTTGCTTGGTCACTCGGTAACCGGGTCGTCCGATTTTGACGAATTTCTTCGGTTCGACTCTGGGTTTTTCGGGCTGGAGAAGTGTGGGGGAGTCCTTGGCTTCCTTGGCGGCGCGCCGGGCCAAGTTCGCTTGATGCTTTTTGCCTTGGGTGTGGGCAAGGTAGCTTCCTTCGTTATTATGCAAGGTGAGGCAAAGTTTGCATTCGTAAGAACCCAAGTGGTTTTTCATGAAATAGGGGTCCTTCTGGAGGTCGATGGTCTCGAGAGCTAGCTGTCGGAGACGCTCGCGACGGTCGCGATTGGTCTCGGACCAAGAGGCGACGCCGCCCCCGCCGGTCTTGCCCCCGGGGCGGTTTTGGAAATCCATTATTTAATATTTAAAAAAGGCCGTGAAAATACACTTAACCTTTACGAGTTTACAACGCTTCGAAAACAGTTTTGACAAGTGACATTATTTATTGACGTTTAATGCACGCTTGATGGTGATTTTTGCAATACCAACCCAGACACTACCAACCAACGTGATGGCACAGTGAAGGGTGGCAAACCTTTTTTTTTTTTCAGAATTCTGTTACAATAATAGCCCTTATTAGAAAATACTCTAGGGGCTATACTTTACACAATTTTATGATGACGTCATCAACATTTTTCCACTCGTATACCAACTTATTATTATAGATTGGTGCTGGGAAAATGGAGTGAGTCGTTTCTGATAAAATAATAAAAAATAATAATAAAATAAACTCATTCATTGATTTTTTTGAGACACCTGTATAAGCAAATCTAAAAAATATGAATGCCATGGTAAATCCAGGGCCGGCTTAACACGGTAAGCGAAAGATGCACCGCATCGGGGCACCCATAACAAGGGGCGCCGGGCGGCGGGCGCCGCCTATGCTTTTGTGTTAACTCCATAGAAATAAATTAATAGGAGTATTAGATTTGCATTGACTCACTGCGCACAAAATATTATAGCCGGAACAGACAAAGGCGCCCATCGAAAACTTTTCAGAAAAAACTACATTTTAACATTCCACCATGGGGAGTGGTTCACCAAAATAGGTCATAAGAAGTCAATTCCTGGCACTTTCTGACTGTAATAATTGAAAAAGAGTGTGCTTTTGGGTTGGGTGATTGGACCTTTAGATCAATACCGACAAAAAATACCGGATTTATGATTGCCATTATCTGGGTAACAATTTGACGAGACAGCGGTATGACCAAAACCAGATGTTTTTCTAACATTTGTCACGTTTGTTTGTACCATAAAACTCCTTGTCGGCACAAACTTAAAAATTTTATTTTCCAAGTCTATTCGGCTGGTTGTGGTGGTTGTTCAGTTTTGTTATATTTTTCACTGTTCTGATTCGTAGTCGAATTTGGTTAAATTTTAATTTCGAATAACATTGAGGTAAGTCTAAATTAAAAATAACTTTGAAATCGTATCAATTTTACAATATTAAAAATTGAAAAATTTTTGTAATGTAAAGATTTTTATACTTATACTAGAAGAGTTGTTGCTCGTTTGTGTGGGTTTGGACACATCATTTTTCGTCCCATTCGCCCCCCGTCTAACTTAAAAACTCACGAGATTCCTAGATAAATCTTCATCTCCTATTTTGTCCCATTGGGGCGGAATTTCCAAAAATCCTTCCTCAATGGGTGCTTATGACACAAAAGGAACCTACTGTCCAAATTTCATGTTTGTAGTTGCAGTAGTTCAGGCTTTCCATGCGTTGATGAATCAGTTAGTCTATCAGTCAGGACAAACACTTTTATATATTAAAATTGATTCATCATAATTTTATGTATGTTTGTTAATTAAAAGTATCTCTCTACAAAAATATATGTTTTTTTTTACAAACAATTTTTAAAGGGCGTTGAACAGTAAGTTGCATCGGGGCGCCTGGTCCCTTAGAGCCGGCCCTGGGTAAATCGCAAGTAAAAACTGATCAAATTTTGCACATTTTAGGTAGAATTTATTCGGCAAAATTTTGAGATTACGTCATCAATTTGGAGGGGGGGGGGGCAATAAACAAATATATTCTGATTAACAATTTACCATGCTTGCAATAACTTTAAAATGTCTGCATGATTTCAAAGCATTTGGTTTTGCAATTCCTGATTTAATCAATAAAATAAATTGACTGTCATTATTTTTTTTTAATCACCTGCATAAGCAAATTTAAAAAATATTACTGAAGTGATAAATCACAAGTTTAGACTCATCATATTTTGCACATTTAAGATAGGATTTATTTGGTAAAATTTTGAGGTGAAATAATTTTTTTTTACATTTTGATCAAAAAATTATCATGCTTCTTATAACTTTAAAATATCTCCAAGATTTCAAAGCATCAGATTCAAAATTAAATTGTAAAATTTTGTTTTATAATTTTGATTTTTTTCCAAAAATCTGGGCGTTTCAACTAAAAACTGAAGACGGAATCATAAACTACATGTGTAGGACTATGTTATTTGAAACAGTCCTGTTTAAATCAGTAAAATAGATTGACGCATTCATTAATTTTTTTGAGTCACCTCTATAAGCAATTCCAAAAATATGAATGGAATGATAAATTACAAGTATAGACTCATTATATTTTGGATATTTAAATATGATTTATTAGGCAAAATTTTGGACTGGGGGTTAAGTAAATATATTTTGATTTATCATAAGCATGGTAAATTTAAAACATCCGTAAGATTTCAAATCATTCGATTTTGCAGATTCAAAATTAAATTGCAAATGTTGTTATGTAATTTTGATTTTTTACAAAAATTTGGATATTTCGGCTAAAAACTCAACGGGGATTCATAAACTACACGTGTACGACTATGTTATTTTATAGAATTTAAAACCCATTTACTATGTACAATTTTGAGGTGACGTCAATAACACATCAATAAATTGTTGATGGGGATGATTAGAGAAAGTTTGGTTAAATCTGAAACCTTGAAATTTAACAACTTTTATAAAACTTAACGTTTTACCTTCATATTTTACAATTATTTATAAGTTTATTTATAACATTTAAATTATAAACGAATCCCTTAATTAAAAAATATTTAATGGAGTCAAAGTTCCTTAAAAATCTCAAAAATTTTAAAATTTGCGCCATCTTTGAGTTTAAATATCAACTACTTGAACGACAACGGACACTTCAGCAACATGCTATCATAAACTAAAAGTTTTGAATACAGATTAGAACAAATAATTTTGTTGATATGTTTTATGGTACGGTTTTACATTTAAGAAATTTATAAAAAATAAATTTATTGGATTAATTTAAATTCAATTATAAAATTGAAAAATTTGTGCTCTTTCCCATAAGAAAAACTAACATTACTCACATTCACATTAACTGTATGAAAAAGGTGATTAAAATAAGAAAAAACACGTCCCATGTTTTAAAATAAAAAAAAAACATATTCACTAACATCTCTATTGGTTTCAATATTTTAGCGATGTCTAAATCTTAAATAGGGTCAACCAGCTGGCACGTCTTCAGGAAGATTTGTATAATGATGTGGTAACGAATTGGCAAGTATAGTGTTGTGCCTAACCAAGGAATTATTATTATTATATTGGTACGAAATAAACCCATACGCCGCCCAGGTACGACGCTTATGGATCTTCTAGTATGTATGAGTTTCTTCTGGTATGTAGTGTATGGCTCGTCGCTAAAGCAAAGCCTGGAAGGGGATGTTGCGACGGACCCAGAAAACTCTCGAAGTGGCGTTCTCGATCCATCGGAAGAAACATATAGGTTTAAATAGAGGCCACCGTTAGGAACGATTGTTATTCAGCCAATTCAGCAAGCCCAGTCAGCAAGTCGAGCCGAGTGAATGAATGCATTCAAATTGCACCACGGAGTTATTCTATACATAATCGTTGTAATAGTTAGTCGTGTAATTTTATTCACCGATCAACGTAGCAATATGTTAATTTTCTTTGCTAGTACTAACGGCTAATAATATATTCTAAGTAACAATAACATAATTAATGTTCGACAAAAAATCTGATGTCATTTAGATTAGATTAGGGTTCATATATCAACCGGCACATGACATATCCACAAAAAATAATCGAAATTCTTAGAAAACTAGTAGGTATAACTATCACATCATAATTTTAGTAAGTTCTGTCTGTATTTATATGGATATATGGTGGATGTTTGCCGAATTTGCTGCAGTTCTATTTTTTACTACAACGTATAGGAACCCTAGTTAACTGTAGATTTTCTTGTTTTATTTATTGATATTTTAATGTTTAAATCTGGAACAGCTACAGATAAAGACTTTCTCTAATAAACATTCTAAAGACTTAAATAAATCATGTCAGAATTCTACACTCTATATGGAATTAAAAATCACGATTTTGTGAAAATCGGTATTCCTTACCCAAAAGTAACAAGTTTGTTTTATTTGTCGTTCAAAAAGTTTTAAACTAAGCCAGTGATTAGACCTAAAGGACAGACGAATTTGAATAGAAAGGAGGAAACCACGAAGTCCTGCTGAGGATTTTAGAAGTTGAATAAAAAATTAAACGAAGAAAATAATTTTATATAACTATAACAGTCATTTCTAACAGTTGATTTGATATACCTCTTGGTCCAATAAAATTAAATATAAAACTGAATTAATATCACCAAATATACAGAAACTCCCGCAAGCATCTGGAAATAGAAATTACTATTGTTTTCGCTCCCGAAATTGTTTGGAATATAAAGAATAAAGCTACTCACTATACAAAGTAAATACCAACTTTTTTTTCATAAATCGAATAAATGTAGTATGAAGTTTTCGTCTAATGTTTTATCCTCTATATCCCAAGTAGGTATGTAAATATGTACTTATAGTATGGTACCTGCTGAAAGAACTTCCAATCAAAAGTGAAAAAACCTCCAATGCTAAACGATGCCTTCATAGTAATCATTTGAAGCGAAATCAACTTAAGGCAGCACAAGTTTTGATCAAGTTTTCCTCGAGAGGTCCATTTATTCCAGATGCCATGCACAAGAAAAGCTCCTTCGTTACTTATCTCCTGAACTTGACTGAACCTTGCTATAAGGGTATAAAGCCAGATAAATGAAAATATTACATAACTAAAATTGCATCCAAAACGTATTGACATATGTTTGTTTTGAGCAGCGGAGACTGTCGAGTTATATAGTCCATCAACCATCGTGATGAACCAGTGAGCAATTCCTGTCAGAATCGTTACTTCAAATTGCTTTACTGTTTTGAGTAAAAGAAGTACTAGTTCATAATGTATATGAGTTACCGTGATAACTGGTCCAAAGTTTATGGTATATTCAAAGTGATCTAACTCCCTAAGTGAGTCTTCCAGCTGTTTGTTAATTAAACTAAATTTTTGGAGAAAACAGTTCAAAATATCACTAATAAAAAAGTTATCAAAAGTGTTGACAAAACAGAAATAAGTAAAGAACGTGTAATAATTATGAGGTTCCCTTAGACTATAAAATAGGACAACTGGTACAACCGTTGTAAAAAGTGCAAATTTACTGAAATTTTGGTTCCGGTAGACTGTACCGTAGTTTGAAGAAAATTTTATTTCGTTTACTTGCAGGAGTAGAGTTTTCAGTTGATTACTTCTTTTATATAGCATTATAAATACTATCGCCATGTGTATAACAGTACTGTAGTAAGTTGCAAAACGAACATAGCTTAATAGTTGGGCTTCCACGTGCAAGGTATAAGATATGTAGGTGTTAATGAAGTAACAACAATGTAAGAGTAAACACCAAATTCTAGGGATAAATTTTGAAAATGTTGTTGATGATGTCGTTGAATAAGAGAATTGGACAATGCCCAAACACTTGTATATATATTTTAACCATCTTGGAGTGGATTCTAACACTTCGGTCGACATTATAATTACCACTGGTGTATCTTGTTTTGTCGTTTTATTGATTGATTAAACATCATCTATTTAGTAACTATAATAGCAATCGTTGATGTTTCAGATAACAGAAATATTACTCCTATTTTCATTTAGTGAAATGCGGGGATTAATATTGTATAGATATTATTTATGTGTACAGTCAACAGCAGAGAAAAATTCAATAATTATAGCTAAGAAGGCAGACGTATTTGATGACGCATTATCTTGAATGGAAAGAAAGAAACCAAGAAACAATACCTCAAGTCCAGCTGAGAATATTGGAAGTCGAAAAAAAGGATAAATGATAAACTTAATTTTGTATTACGATAACATTTACTTTAACAATTGATTTCACTTGCCCCTCAAGTAAAATTAAATATAAAACTGAATTAAGATTACCAAATATACAGAAACCCCCGCAAGCATCTGAAATAGAGCGTATTATTGTTTTTACTCCTGAAATGGCTTGGAGAATAAAACAGTTTGAACTTTTTTTGTTTTATTCTCCAATCCTCAAGCACTAAAATACCTGCTGAAAAAATTTCCAGTCCAAAGTGAAAAAACCTCCAATGCTAAAGGACACCTTGGTGGTGACCATCTGAAGCGAAATCAATTTAAGGTGACACAAATTTTGGTCAAGTTTTCCTCGAGACGTATATTTATTCCAAATTGCATGCACAAGAAAACCTCCTTCGTTACTTATTTCTTGAACTTGACTGAACATTGCTATGAGAGTGTAAAGCCAGACGAATAAAAACACTGTATAACTAAAATTACATCCAAAAGGTATTGAAAGATATTTATTCTGAGCTGCTGAAACTATCGAGCTGTAGACTGCATCCACTATCGTGACGAACCAGTGAGCAATTTCCGTTACAATTGTTACTTCAAATTTCTTTACTGTTTCGAATAAAAGAAGTACTAGGTCATAATGAGTATGAGTTATCGTGTTAATTGATCCAATGTTTAGGTTATTTTCACGATCTAACTCCTTAAGCGAGTCTTCCAACTGTCTATTAATTAGATTAAATTTTTGGAGGAAACAATTCAGAACGTCACTAATAAAAAAGTTATCAAAAGCGCTAACACAACAGAAATAGGTAAAAATCGTGTAATAATTATATGGTTCCCTAATAGTACAAAATATTACTAATAGTGCAAGCGTAATAATGAGTGTAAATTTACTTGTATTTTGGTTTCTGTAAACTGTTACAGAGGTGGAAGATAATTTTATTTCGCTTACTTGTACGAGGAGAGCTTTTAGGTCGTTACTTCTTTTGTACAGCATTATAAATACTATGATAATCTGTACAACGGTACTATAGTAAGTTGCAAAATGAACATAGATTAACAGTTTGACTTCTAGATGCAAGGTGTAAGATATGTAGGTGTTAATGAACAAACAACAGTGTGAGAAACAACACCAAACTTTAGGGGCAAATTTTGAAAATGTTGTTGTTGATGACGTTTTTGAATAAGAGAACTGGACTATTCCTAAAAATTTGTATATAAATTTCAACCATCTTGGAGTGGATTCTAACACTTCGGTCGACATTATATTTAACACAATTGTGTCTCGTTTTGTCGTTTAATTTACTGAGTAAACATTGTCAATATAATGAAGCAATTGTTATTGTTTTTTTATTTCATTTCTGGCGACAGAATGAGTAAGTAATTATAAAAATGTCGTTTAATCATAGTAATGGTCTTGTCAGAAGAGTTAAACCTCTAAAATATAAACATATTGTACAGACCATATATAAACATGTGAAATTTGCTTATCTGTACAAACAATTTTATCGCCGCCTAGGTGCAAGCGGAAACGTTGTAAATAAACTTTATCCATGTATACATCGATTTTTTTTTATCTTTTAGTTGATACTGAATCATTATGGAATAACTTTCTTAAATCGTCGTTATTATTACGTGATTGTGACATTGACATTAGGAGATATGGAAGACGATGTGAGTAGATTTTGCATTATTTATTTACAAAGAGAGCTATTTTTCCTACTGGCGTATTTTAGAGATCTGATAATAATCAGCCACTTGGTGTTCGAATTTTATATTATGTACTGTGACCTACCTATTTTCCTAATGTCAAATTTGAAATTATTTTCATGCAAAGTGATAATAAACACTTTGTTTTGCAAAACTTAGTTTATCTCAAACTGAAACCATTTCAATTTGAATTGCAGCTATTACTAAGCTGCAATTCATTTTTAAAATTTCGCGTAATTAAAATGATTAAAATAAGAAATTTTATTTCAAGCAAAATGTCTTAAATCTATTTTAAGAGTGAAATTCAAACATAATTATTGATCTAAATATTATTTCAATATCACATTGTGGTACAAAAATATTTTCTTGAGGTCATTTTCGCTTTTTTCATTCTGACCTTTGGAATGTTTTTCAGAGAAAACCACTAATTTTACTATTTAACAAAAATGTCGATGATGTCAGTCACTTTTCTGTAATAAAAAAATGTAATTTCAGATATTTTTCAAACGGCCTGGCACAACTGATAAAGGAAAAGACTACGAAGACATTGTTATTGCTGACCTGGTGTTGCAACTTGTGCTATCAAAACACGTCGATAATTTCAAGGTGACATCCAACGACAAAAAATTTGGAGACTTCGATGACGTTGTTGTAGAAACAGAATCAAATAAAGAAAAACAGTTGTACGCGATTCAGCTTAAACATATAGGTAAAAGTGATAAAACATTGTCCGTGGAAAGTTTAAAATCAGAAAGTGGCAACTTTGCAATTAAAAAATATTTCAAATCGTTTAAATCTATAAAGCTACATGATACACCCTGCAAGTTCATTCTTTCAACTAACTTGAAATTTGACAAGGACGGAGTACAAATCCAACTTAGCACCACCAATGATGGCTTCATTCTAATTAAGAGTCACAAAATTGAATCAACGGAGTTATTCACCAGTGGACTGTGTTACAAGTTTGAAGTTGATAGTGAGAGTCAATCGTCTGATATTGAAGAATACATAAGATTTTTTGATAATTTTCTGTTGTATACCAATCAAGCAAATGTTGAAGAAACTAAAAGTAACGTCAAGTCAAAATTCCAAAAACATTTTTGTTGTTCTGGTACAGATTCTGATGGATTTTTGCAGTTTATATCAAAATGGAGTCTCCAGGAAGGTCTCAAGGCGAAATTAAACAAAAATATGATGCGAAAACTTATTGCTCTTGTTGTTGTACATAAATTTATTCAACCTCTGTCTTTCAAATCTGTTAACGACAAGATGATATTACTACGTCGGGCTATTAATGGTTGTCATATAACGTTTGCACGAAAAGAAGCCTATCATAAAATTAAATTCCTTTGGAGCGACTTGAAAGATCGAGCCATCAACGAGAGCACTAACGAGATCCAGAAGGTGGCACGAACTTTTCAATTAATTGATTGCAAAGACAAAATAAAAGATTTGGATGACTACGGCATGACAAAGTTGTTATGGCTACTAGGAATGTGTCCGCTAATACTCAATGAACACCAGACAAGTTATAAAGCTATTAGTTTGTGCAACGAGGAAAAATTTATTTTAATCGGTTCCGGTACTAGAGAAGAACATTCACCGAGTAGAACAGTTTTCCAGAACTTGTCAGATTTGGATCTAAATTCTATGATATACAAAGACATCACAAGAAAATTTAAGTGCTTATTACAGGGTAAGGAAGAAGTCAGTTTAGAATTTTTAATTGAGCGAAATGAAAATATTCGAACAGTTGTTACCATAAACGATTTGGTGAAAATGTTAGATGGTCCGTATCCACTTGGTGAACAAAAAGAGGTAATTCCAGAACCTTATATTCCAAGACTTCTGTCTGTAAATCACATTGATATCAAATATTTTAAAAACGTTGATAAAGACACTTTGTTGGTAATAGACTGTATGGACAAATTTGACAAAATCAAGAGCAAATTAGGAAATTTTAACTTAATTGATATTTCGTTGTTTTTGCGAGACGATGTGAAAAATTCCAAAAGTCCTAAATATGCATCAAGTTACAAACCTTTGTACTACACAAGTCCATGTATAAAAAATTTTGCTTCTGGTTCGGATGTCTACATAAGCGAAACGTGTTCACAAGAAGACTTTGATAAAATATGCAGACGAAATCCTAGTATTGAAAGAAGTCATCACTTGAAGATTATCGACGAAATGACTTTAGAATGGATACGAAGCAAAGGTGACATAAGTGATTTAGAAAGATATAGACATGAAAAGACATTTGTAGAAGAAACAAACCTATATAGAGGAAAACCTGAGAACAATATAAGTTTGGTAAACGGGGACCCCGGGATGGGAAAATCGGAATTATTGAAGAACGTGAAAAATAACTGTGGCGTGGACTTCTGGTGCGTTTTCCTGCAATCTATGGACATTACTCTTTTGTGTACGCGTTTAGAACAAACTCAACTCGATCTGAGAGAACAAGAACTTGTCAAGTTTATCATCGACATAATATATGATGGATATCCAGAGTTTGATAAACATGTGATAAAATTACTAATTGAAAAATATCAAGTTGCGTATTTTTGGGACGCTCTTGACGAAATTACTACAAAAAATGTTGAATTTGTGACTGATCTTATACAAGAACTGTCTCAGAAGAGCTGCTTTCAATGGATAACCAGTCGCTGCCATTTGAAGAAGCAACTCGAAAAAAAGTTTAATGTGTTGTCAAGAAGTGTAAGTCAGTTTAGTGAAGCCGAACAAACCCTTTATATACACAAAAGACTGAAAGATCTTCTTTCTGATGAAGATATCGACAAAGTAATTGAAAAAATCAGATCCACTGTTACTTTGGTTAAACATAATGATGTTTTGGGTACACCACTCCAAGTGTTTATGCTCACAGAGCTCTTTCGACAAGATCATGCCATGTATGATGACTTACTTGACAAATTGTTTTCTTTGACGGATCTCTATCAACACATTATTGACGAGAAGTTTAACAGATACTATCAGTTGAAAGCAGATGTGCGTGCTCCTAATGATATTTTGAAGCAAGTGCTTATAGATCACAAAAGACTGATGCTGGAGAAGTATGAAAAAGCCGGCTTAAAAGCACTAATCAAGAAAGAAGTTTTCAGACACCTCAACATCGAGTGTGATGACTTTTTGAACGAAATTCAAAATCGTGCCGACAGTATAGGACTGATAACAGAAGTCACTGATAGTTTTCCTCAGTTTTTGCATAACTCTTACGCTGAATTCTTTGTGGCAAAATATTTCACCGAACACTACAAGGAGATAGAGGATTTCGAAAAGATTATTTTTGATAGTAGGTATGTGAACGTTAGATTCTTCTTTGATTTGCTCACCGCAAAAGATTCTTCTGCTCACATCGCCGTGTTGTATAAGAATATCGATTTACTCAAACAACATAAGGACGATTTAATGGGTTGTGAAGACACCGGGGGAAGAAATGTTCTGCAGTTGGCGTGTTCATGGGGTCAACGATGCCCTACCCTAGAAATGGAAAGACAAGAGGAAATTTATATCGTTGATAACGAAAGTGACGACTTATCTAATGCAGAAACATCTGAATACACGGAAATGTTGCAGTACCTGTTAGATAATTGTGACGCCTCAGATTCTGACGACATCTTCAACGGGACGTCTTTAGCTTACGCTCAGAAGGCTGATTGTTTGTTGGCAAAATTAAAACTATTATTGAAGCACAGCTCATCTAAGCTAAAAAGTAACAGTGAAAACATAAGCATCTTGTATTACTCCGCTAAGTTTGGTTATGAAGATGTCATTGACTTATTTGAAGAATTACCTTTCGTCAAAACTAAGAAAGATGGTTTTTCGCTTTTCCACTTGGCTGTGAATTATGGTCATGAGAAATATTTAATGAAACTTCTTTCTGTAGACAATTATAAAAAATTAGTTGATGATAGAGACAAAAATGGCGAAACACCACTTTATGAAGCATGTCAAAACGGCTACTATAACTTAGCCGTACTGCTGGTAGATCATGGTGCTAACATCAATGTTGGAACAAACGAAGGCTCGACACCTCTTCACACAGCTTGTTTACATCTTCACACCAGCATTGTCAAATTCTTGCTACAATCTGGAGGCAATGTCAACATTACGAAAAAATACGACATAACACCACTTCACGTAGCTTGCTGGAACGGACATCACGACGTCGTTAGTCTCCTGCTTCAGAATGATGCCAACATCAATCTTCCAACGGACGATGGTTGTACACCTCTGTATATAGCTTCTAGAAACAGGCATGACAAAGTTGCTTCTCTGTTACTGAAATATGGTGCCGATATCAATTTCGCGCAGGAAGATGGTGCCACTCCTCTGTTTATAGCTTGTCAAGAAGGTCATATCAAGAATGTTGAAGTTTTGTTGAAAGCAAAAGCCGATTTTAACCTTGCTACGAAGAGTGGAGAGTCGCCTCTGTATATAGCTTGTCAAAATGGACACATAGATGTGGTTCGGATGTTGATTAACTCTGGAGCCGATGTTAATGCTGTTGCGGCAAATGGTTTTATGGCGATACATATAGCATGTCAACAAGGATACGTTGTTATTGTTCAGTTGTTAATTGGGGCAGGAGCTAAGGTCGACATTTGCGGAGACGGTATGACGCCGTTAAAGATCGCTTTGATTCATGGACATGACAATATTGTTGCTTTGTTACAAAATTAAGTTATAGGTTGTTTTTATAATACAAGTTAACCTTATTGTAGCTCAATTAAGCTAATTTTGTGTATTCATCAGGTTCTTGAGAATCTATTTATTGAATAAATTTTTTTTTTATTGAGTTTTCTTTATTGCTATTTAATCAATTTGGAATTTTGGAATGGAATGTTTACTTTGTACAATTTCTGAACATTTTTAACATCTACGCTTCTTATTGGGTTGATATATTTTGTTCTTTTTTTCTTAATATTCGTAGTTTTCTTTTCACAACGAGCACTGAAGTAAGAAATTATTATTTCAGTATTTAATAAACATAGTCGGTATAGTCAAATTTAAAATTCACATTTGCATAAGTAATAATTAAGTTTTAACTTTAATAAGCCGAATCAACATTTTTGATTATATTATAAAATTATCCTTAGCAGTTAACAAATATTGTGTTCATCCTAGTTCTAGTTGATGGTGTTCAAAATTTGGAATACATATATCAAGAGACAACTTCTGGTCGTACCTATTTAAAGACTAAATGACGAATTCTGTATACTTCCATGAAGCTGGAAATGTTTTTATAAATAAAATATGGAACGCTCTACTCAAAAATTAATGAAGTACATATGCAGTGGTAAGCAATGAAATGCAATGGTAAATTTTTGTAGAAAAAAGCGCAAAATATAAGCCCCGCCCACCCGCCCTGTCTCAATTGTGATGATTGTTTTTATTCGTCGTGAGGGCGGAGCTTAATTGCAAAACCTTTATTTCTCCAGAAGAAATGACCACATAAGATATATTTTTGAGTATCGTGTTGTTCAGAGATTACTAAGTATATTAAGCAAAAATTAAAGCCAGATCTTATTTTTTGGTTTTCTTTTGTATTTATAATACATACATATAGTTTGCTTTGAACAACACAATTACTCAGGAACATGTTTCACATAGCAATTTCTTGTAGAAAAATAAGGATTTGCAATTAAGCTCCCCCCCGCGGCTTACGACGAGTAAAAAAAATAATCACGACTGAGATAGGTTGGGTGGGCGGGGCCTATATTTTGCCTTTTTTTATTAATATACGTAGTCATCTTTTCACAAGAAGAAACTTAAAACATCTAAAATGTTAAATTTTTGCTGGGAAATATGGATTTTGAAATTACGCTCCGCCCACCCACCCTGTCTCAATTGTGATGATTTTTTTATTCATTGTGGGCCAAGAGGACGGAGCTTAATTGTAAAACCCTTATTTCTCCAGAAGAAATTGACACGGAAGATATATTTTTGAGTATCGTGTTGTTCAAAGAATATTAAGTATATGTATTAAGTAAAAATTAAAGCCAGATTGATATCGAGACGAATGGGTAGCGCTTATGTTTTGGCTTTCTTTTGTACTTAATACAAAAGAAAGATGACTACGTATATTAAGAAAAAAAAAATGGCAAAATATAAGCCCCCCCACCCACCCTGTCTCAATTGTAATAATTTTTTTTATTTGTCGTGAGCCAAGAGGGCGGAGCTTAATTGCGAAACCCTTATTTCTCCGAAGAAATTACCCTGTATGATATATTTTTGAGTATCGTGTTTTTCAAAGAATATCAAGTGTATTAAGTAAAAATTAAAGCCAGATGAGATCGATACGAATGGCCAGAGCTTATGTTTTGGCTTTCTCAAGAACATGTTTCACATAGAAATTTCTTGCAGAAAAATAAGGATTTTGCAATTAAGCTCCGCCCCATAGCCTACGATGAGTAAAAACAATTCTCTTGATGTTATACAATAAATTTCCCCTAAATATTAGGAATTCGAATACCAACTTCTTTAAAAATTATATGAAGCAGTTTCTCCTGTCAAATGCTTTCTACAGTGTCAAAGAGTTTCGCGACCATAGATTCTAGAAAATTTAAGAAAAAAGAAAAATTAAATATTATTGGTAGATAATGTTGAAACTTCAGCACAAGAAATATAAAAAAAAAACATTTAGTAAATGACTTTCGGAAACAAGGTAAACAAGAAGGGTTGGTCTTTTCGAAATTACATTAGCATTTAAAATATATATCATACAGTATTATTATTACTTACTATTGAATAACGTTTGAATTGTTTAACTTAGTATTTTTAATTATCTTATTTCGTTTTTAAGGTGAGATAAATATACAAGGTGATTCTTAAATTCATCAAAATTTGTTAGCCGGTAATAGATGTCATTAAATGCAATGTTTTTTCTAAATACCATTCTTTCAGAAACGTCCTTCTTATGGAATTAAAATTAAAACTATTACAACCGAAAATTTTGTGTGCGCTTCTGTAGACTGATGCATGTTCGTTGTTAGGTTCCACATCGTGTGATTAGAATTAGGTGTACTGATTGTTGCACTGGTATTGTCTTGGATAATAAATTGGTATGTTTAAAGTGACAGCTAGATGTCATTTATCATGAAAATATACAATTTTTAATTTATACAAGTTAAATTGTAAAAAACCTACATGGCAAGATATTCTGTTTTTAATAGTTTCAGTTCTACAAAGAAAACTCGCCTTTTCAATGACTGCTAGCATCATCAAGTAATAGACAAAGTCACTAATGACAATTTGTAAGCAAATGTGAAAGCTAGAAAGTTGATAAACAGTCTTTTTTAGAACACAAAAGATAGAGGCCGTAGAAAACTTTTGGTTTTAATAATCTTCAATTTCGCCTGGAATTCATAAAAAACTGAAATGTGCTAAATATGTAGATCTGCTTCAGAAGTTTTAGAGAAAATTAAGTTCAAAATTAATAAAGTGCAATTCTTGAACCTCATTTTTGGTTAAAATTAAGACAAATAGCGTGACCATGCCATTTTCACATATTTCCAATACCCTTGTAATAAAAACTTTTTGAAAAATGATAAATTTTATTCTGTTGAACTTCAAAGTAATTGTTCAAGGTGAAGACCCCCATTAGGTACCAGAGATGATATTGCGTGTCTGACCATTGCAGGATTGTTACGAATTGTTTTTGTCACTCTTGCTAACAATTCTTCTGCTTAGATGTTAATAGGACCTGCATAAATTAAATAATTATTTCATATGCCTCCATAAAATATAATCATTAATCACACGGATTTAAATCCAGCGACCGCGCAGGCCAACCAACTCGTCCACCACGACCTATCCATCTGTCGGAAAAATGTCTGTTTAACCACCGACGTACGACATTTGCGTAATGTGGAAGTGCTCCATCTTGTAAAAATCAAATATTGAGACGCACTTCTCCAGCAAAACATTTAAAACGTTCCCCAAGAAATTTAAATTGTCTTGGTCGTTAAGATAGTTAGAGAAAACAAGAGGTCCTACCAATTCGCCGTCCATAAGTAGACGACATGACCATAAAATTTAAAGAGTTAAATAATAAAACGAGATTCTTTTAACAGTCAAAAAATAGTCGACTTGAAATCACAAATACCACTACACATCAAGAATTTATTCTCGGGAAAATCTTGCTTACAAACGGAACACAATGTAGGAACGTGTACGTCCGTTTTATCCTAATCTGTCACCTTGTACAAAACACACAGATAATATTTGTTCGTTTACGCCTTTTTTAGGTATTCCCTATTTATAAATGGGTGGTACAACTGTAGGTATAATAGGTACTTATCTAGTAGTGATTACATTTGTATTATGTAACAAATAAGTAATCTGGCCTTGAATCATCGTGTAAATAGATACTGTTCCAAGATCAAGGGAAATAAATCGATGATTCACTGCGATGTGTCGTGGCGATATTCGCACTACTTTAGGAAAATTTCTTGCTACCAAGTGGAATAAAATAAATATATCTTCAATAACGACCGATTTGCTGATGGTACTTCCCTAATTCGAAGTCACAAGAAGAAGTTTACTAAATCTCTAGAAGAGATCAAACATCAATTTGATGAAAAATTAACATAGGTGTAACAAAATCGACAATACATCTGCAAACAACACCAGACTCAATTTGTAATGCAAGAAGTTAATTAAGAATTGTTGTCTGTAATCCAGGTTCGGAAAGAAAGATTGAAAGTTGTTATTGTGTTTATTGATATACATGTGCCATGTGATTTGTCTACAGATACTCATATATGCTGCAGATCCGTAAATTTTGTTATTTCGCTTATATTAATCTAATTTTCTAAAGGTATCTGGTGTGACTTATAATGTCGCCGTTTTTCTGAGTGTCAGTAGATTTTGTTTTGATAATGAAGTTTTTGCCTGGTCTGAACTGGTTCCCGCTTGAGCGGTTTTCCTATGTACCCATACACCAACGATCTCTATGCCATACACAATTGTCGATTGTGGCACGACGAACGAGGGCTTTTAATTTCCCGATCTCCTGATTATGCCTTTAATACATAAATAACTACTAGTTAGTTTAGATATTTTTTAGTACATTGAACTCTATGGGATTCACTTAATTTTCAAGATGTGATAAGAAATATATAAGTCTAATCCGGACGTCTCTGTAAATATTTATATTCACGTCTGCACCATAGGTAAAACTTATGTGTAAACGAATCTATCAGTTAACCAAATGCTTTCTACGTTGTAGTTGACTGATGTGCTGTAATTTTTATTTAATATCTAACCGACAATTATGGAAAACGATGTAAGTAGATTCTGCACAGTTTTGCTTACAGTTGGGTACTTTTGTGTGAAATAATATAGTATCCAAATTACTTTAAAAACATAATTTTGATTTTTTTGTCATTATTAGTGAACGGTTAAATGTGCATTGTAAGTGGCCGAAAGTGGTGTATATCGTGGTAGATATCAATGTGAAAGCAATAAATATTTTTTTCGGCAAGGAGATAATAGTATTTTATACATATTAAGCGAATGTAGGATCACGAACACATTAGCACGAGTGATACTGATTTCACGAGCTTAAGTATAATGAAATCTCGTTCTCGTTTGATATACGCGGTTTTATCTTAGAGTAGCAGCTTTTACAAGATGAATCCAAATTGAAAATTTATTTAACCTAAAAAATCGTATTGTCGTTAGATGTAATAGTAATATCCTAAGTTACACAACATTTAAAGTTTGGTAGTTTCGTAAAAATAAACATTTTATTTTAGTGGCATATCAGTTAAATGTAGCATTTATTATTGTTTCAGACTTTTAATAAAAGAATTGGCACAACCGATCTCGGAAAACACTATGAAAATGTTGTCATCGCAAATTTGACTTTACAACTTGTATTAGATAAAAATGTAGACGATTTCAAATTGTCAGGCAATGACGACAAATTCGGTGACTTTGACGATGTCGTCGTTGAAACTGAATCAAATGGAGAGAAGAAACTATACGCAATTCAACTCAAGCACTTTAGAGATGTAACAAAGAAGTTATCAAAAGACAGCTTTAAGAAAAAAAAAGAATTTAATCTTCAGAAATACTTTACGTCGTTTAAAAATATCAAAAAAGGCGAACGTTCTTGCAATTTTATTTTGTTTACAAACGAAAAATGTTGTTGTAATATGGAAATTGAATTGAAGATCCGCGAAAATGACATCGTTCGTGTTAAAATGACCAAAGCCGAATCGAAAGAACTGTTTACCAATGGACTGTGTTACAAGTTTGAAATAATAAATGTCAACGAACTTCCTGCAGAGTTTAAAGAATATCACACGTTTTTTGACAATTTGTTGTTATACACAAATCAATTAAACGTGGAGGAAACAGAAACTGTTGTTAAATTACAATTCGAACAAACGTTTTCTTGCTCTAATGAAGAGTCGGAAAGGTTTTTGCATTTTATATCTCAGTGGAATCTTCAAGAGGGCACCAAAGTGAAATTAAACAAATCCATGATGCGGAAAGTGATAGCAGTTGCTGCACTGTATGGTTCTACTAAGCCTCTTGCTTTTACACATACTACCGATGAAATGAAGTTGCTACGTAGGGCTATTGAGAATTTTAATATCACAGTCATTCAAGAAGAAAGCTACGACAAAATTAAAATTCTCTGGAGTGACTTGGAATTGAATGATATTGAAGAAAATATCAAAGATCTAGCAAAAAAATTTCCATTTCTTCGTTTGAAAGAAAGTGTTGCTGATACTGATGACAACACTTTATCAAAACTTTTGTGGTTACTGGAAATGACTCCACTGATGGTCAGCGAGAATCAAACGGTTTATAATGTAATGGATATCTGTCGCAAAGAAAAATTTATCTTAGTAAGTTCGGGTACACCCAAGGTGCAACTATCGCCAAGTAGAATTTTTCAAAATCTATCAAATTTGGATCCTAGGTCTGAACTATATCAAAATATTGTAACCACATTCAAGTGTTTACTTCAAGGGAAGGAAATTGTTACTTTAGATTTTCTAATTAAAAAAAACGACGAAATTCGAACGATTATAACCCCTGAGGAACTGGTGAAAATGTTGGACCGTCCGTATCAGCTTGGCGAGAAAAAAGAATTTATATCGGAAACGTACATTAACAGACATCTGTCGGTAAATTATATTGACATCAATTATTTAAAAAACGTTGATAATGACACTTTGATTGTTCTTGATTGTATGAACCAAATGGAAAAAATTTTGAAGAAACTGGGCAATTTTAATTTGATGGATATCAAATTGTTTTTTCGAGATGACGATAATAATTCTAGAAATTGTGGGCAATTTTTGCCGAATCATCGAACGCTATATCACACAAGTCCATACTTAAAAAATTATGTTTCTGGCTCTGATATATACATCAGTGACAAATGTTCTTTTGATGATTTTCAAAAAATTTGTAATCTTAATCCAAAAATAAAAAAATATCATCATCTGAAGATTATAGATGAAAAGACTTTAGAATGGGTACGAAGCAAAGGTGATATAAGCGATCTATCGAGGTACCGAAGAGAAGAACGATTTGTTGAAGAAACAACTTTTTATACTAGTGACCTGGACAACAATGTGAATGTGGTGAATGGAGACCCCGGAACGGGAAAATCTGAATTATTGAAAAATATCAAAAATAGTTGTGGTGTGGAATTTTGGTGTATTTTTTTAAAGTCTGTGGACACCACTCTCTTGTGTACGCGTCTAGAGAAAATCCAAGCAGATCAAAGAGAATCTGAATTGATAGAGTTTATTCGAGACACAATGTACGTAGGATATCCAAATTTTGATAAAGAGCTAATAACGTTGTTGATCAAGAATCGTCACGTTGTCTATTTCTGGGATGCTCTTGATGAGGTAACTACAAAATGTATAGAAATTGTGATTGATCTCATAAAGGAATTGTCCCAGAAAAGTGCCTTCCAGTGGATAACCAGTCGTTGCCATTTAAAGAAACAACTTGAGAAGAAGTTTGGTGTGTTATCAAGAAGCGTCAGCCAATTTAGCGAGAAAGAACAAAGTCGTTATATTCATCAAAGACTGAAAGACTTGTATTCCGACGAACATATTGACAAAGTAATCCAACAGATTAGAACTACAGTCACATCAATAAAACATAACAATATTTTAGCAACTCCTTTGCAGATTTATATGTTCACTGAACTCTTCCATCACGACCCTGTCAAATACAGAATCTTACTCGAAAAGCTGTTTTCTTTAACGGATCTTTACCAACACATGATAGACGAAAAGTTCAACAGATATTACAAAGAAAAGGCTGATGTTCAATGCCCCAATAACGCCTTAAGGCAAGTCTTAGACGGTTACAAGAGATCGATGTTTGAAAAATACGAAAAGCGGGGTTAAAATCACTCGTCAAGAAAGAAGTCTTCAAGCAACTGAATATCAACTGTGACGATTTTCTGAACGAGATTCAAGATGGTGCTGACAGTATAGGACTGATAATTGAAGTCACTGATAAATTTCCGCAGTTTTTGCACAATTCCTATGCCGAGTTCTTTGTGGCTAAGTATTTTATAGAACACCATAAAGAGATAAATGATTTTGAAAAGATCATTTTTGATAGTAGATACACGAATGTGCGGTTTTTCTACGATCTGCTTACTGCGAAAGATTCTAGTGCTCACAAGGCGGTGTTGTATAGAAATACAGATTTACTTAAGAAACAGCACATGGACGATATGTTTACTTGTGAAGACACTCGAGGAAGAAATGTTTTACAGGTTGCATGTTCATGGGGCCAGAGGCTTCCTGTTCTACAAGTGGAGAAAAGAGACGACATCTATATTATTGATAACGAAAAAGATGATTCATTGTGTGGAGAACCAACCGAGTATATTGAAATGCTGCAGTATCTTTTAGAGAATTGTCACACAACCGGTGATCAAGAATTGAAAAATGCTGCATTTGATTCGGCCAAAAAATCTGAGTCTTTGTTGGCAAAGTTAATACTTCTTGGACATAGCTCCTCCAAACTCAGAAATGATGACGACGGCATTAGCATCTTGTACTATTCTGCTAAGTTTGGTTACACTCAAGCAATTGACTTGTTTGACAATGTGCCTTATGTCAAAACAAAGAAACACGGTTTCTCTCTTCTTCATCTATCCGTGAATTATGGTCAAGGAAAATATGTGAAGAAACTGCTTTCCATAGAGGCATACCGACAAAATATAGACGACAAAGACGAAAATGGAGAAACTCCACTTTATAAAGCATGCCAATACGGATATTACAACCTGGTGGTTTATCTTGTCGATTACGGTGCCAACGTCAATGCCACAACCTCAAATGGTTCCTCACCTCTTCACACAGCGTGTCTTCACCTTCACACCAACATCGTCCGATTGTTGCTATCTTCAAAAGCCAACATCAACGCGGTAAAAAATTTTAACATAACTCCACTCCATGTTGCTTGTTGGAATGGTCATTACGACGTTGTGGATCTACTTCTTCAAAACGGTGCCAATATCAACTCTGTGGCAAACGATGGTTGTACACCCCTGTACGTCGCTTCAAGAAACAGACACGACACTGTAGTCAAACTTCTACTTCAGAAAAATGTTGACATCAATTTAGCCCAAGAAAATGGCGTAACTCCTTTATTTATAGCTTGTCAAGAAGGGCACAAGAAAAATGTCGATCTTCTTTTAAAGGCAGACGCTAATGTCAATCTTGTTACGAAGAGTGGTGAGTCACCACTGTATGTGGCTTGTCAGAATGGTCATGAAGCAGTGGTTAAGTTGTTGATTATGTTCGGAGCTGAGCTGAATGCTGTTGCTGATAATGGGTTTATGTCGATTCACATTGCCTCTCAACAAGGGTTTTCAAAAGTTGTGCAATTGTTGCTAGAACAAGGAGTCGATGCCGACGTTCATAGTGCTGATGGTATGACAGCTTTAAGTATCGCTAGACATCTAGGAAATGATGATGTTGTTTCGTCGTTGAAGAAGTTCAGATTGTGGAATAAAGCATTTAAAATTGTTCATTACAGACTTAATTTTGTTAAGAAACTCAAAATATAGATATGCGTTCCTATCACTGTAATTGCATATGTAAAAAATTGGTCTAAAGAGTTTAGACAGTACTTCCCTCGCTGTCGGAAACTTGACGACTGCATGCCTATTGTGTTTTTTTTCTCATTACATTTTTGTAGTGGGAATTTAAAAAAAAAATGCGATGACGTCATCAACATTTTTGCAAGGACACGTATATCAGTTGGGATAGATGTGTAATACTAAGAATAAAATTATTATATTCTCAAATTTTCGGGAAAATGAATTGGGTCGTTTGAATATTGATTTGTAATAATCAATAAAATAACGAAACAATTTACTCACGTATACCTACGTATCAGAGGCAACTGAAAATCGTGTATGTATAAACATTGTTAATTTAAGATGACAGGCGTAACAGCATACGTAAGACCCAAACAGAGAAACTGTAAACAAAACGACCGTCGGTTTTATTGCTTCGACTTCCGCTTATTATATAAAACATTGGGTTTTATTTTAATTCTTGACGGTGAAATTCACAATTGGTTGATTATAAACATGTCTATTTCACATTCGCGGAATCAAGTGAACGCATAAAACAAATGCAGGTCTGTAATGTTAAAGTCGATGTAAATAAGCGTGCTACCCTTATGTTTCAACCGAGTTTTTCCTTTAACAAATTTTGTGTCTACCAAATTGGGTTGGTTGGGGTGTAATACTAATAATAAGTGTTGCCTTTAATTTAATCAATAAAATAAATTGACTTCATTAATTTTTTTGAACCACCTCTTAAGAAAATCTAAAAAATATGAATGGAATGATAAATCACAAGTACAAACTCATCATATTTTTTGCATTTTAGATAGGATTTATTCAGCAAAATTTAAGGGTGACGTCATCAATTTTTTTAGGAGGGATGAACAAATACATTTTGAACAAAAGTTTACCATGCTTATAATAACTTTAAAATATTCCCAAGATTTCAAAGCATTCGGTTTTGTAATTCCTGATTAAATCGATAAAATAAATTCACGCCTTCATTAATTTTTTTGAGTCACCCTGCATATGCAAATCCAAAAATATGAATGGAATGATAAATCACAAGTACAGACTCATCATATTTTGTACATTTTAGATACGATTTATTCGGAAAACTTTTGAGCTGACGTCATCAGTTTTTTGTAGAAGATAACCAAATATATTTTGACTAAACATTTATTATGCTCTTTATGACCTTAAAACATCTGCAAGATTTCAGAGCATTCGGTTTTGTAGTTCCTGATTAAATCAATAAAATATATTTACGCATTCATTAATTTTTTTGAGTCACCCTGTATATGCAAATCCAAAAAATATTAATGGAGTGATAGTTCACAAGTACAGACTCATCATATTTTGTACATTTTAGATATGATTTATTCCACAAACTTTTGAGCTGACGTCATCAAGTTTTTGGAGGGGATAAGCAAATATTTTTTGACTAAAGATTTATGATGCTCTTTATAGCCTTAAAACATCTGCAACATTTCAAAGCATTCTGGTTAGCAGATTAAAAATTAAATTTCAAAATGTTGTTTTATAATTTTGATTTTTTTTCCAAAAATCTGGACGTTTCGGGTGAAAAGTCGATTCAGAGTTGTAAACTACATGTGTAGGACTATGTTATTTTATACAATTGAAAACCCATTTACTATGTACAATTTTGAAGTGACGTCATCGCTTTAGTGGTGGGGATGATTCGACAAATTTGGTTAGCGTTTTACCATCTACATGATATTCTTAATATAAGTACAAAATTTCACAACAATCGGTCGAGTACTTTCGGAGATTATCTGTCTAATAAAAATCCGTGACAACAGACGGACAGACGGACAGACGGACAGACGGACGGACAGACGGACAGACAGACGGAAATGGGAGACCTATTTCTTCGTCTTCTAGGGGTCATGAAAGATCGAGAAAACGTAAAAGTAGAGAGTCGGCCGACGGACTCGATTACAATACTTCCTTTGCTTACGCTCGGGAAGTAAAAATAATTGTAATAAGTAGTTGATGTTTTTTATTATGTACTTATGTATTACAATGCTGTTATTATTTTACCGTATTATGTATTATATAATAAAATAAATTACAGTATTTTTTTTAAATACGAATTATCTCAAATTCATCATCCAAGTGAATGATCTTATGTAGCTATTCTTGACATTTAAGTGAAATTTTATTTTTGACATGGTTTCTAGTATCTAAAAATTATATTACAAAAAAAATACAATTTTCGTCAAACCGAATGCCGTATTATAGACCTCTGGAAGATTTGTTCTTCCAAAAAAATGATCAGTGATATTAATTATAGGATAGGCCTGACTGAAATCCAAGATCACAAATCTGATCAATTGTCAAAAATAACTGATATTAAATAATATGTTTACTATTATTAGTCAAGCAAGATAAGAGGTCCAATAATTGTTTTTTCGAGCACCAGATGTAAGAATGACATTTTATTAAAATTAGCAAAACGAACTATAAATTCTATTAATATGTGTAATATAATGCAGTTGATAGAAAAACTGAGAATTTAATAAACTCTATGAATCTGTTTTGATATTTTATCCTTGTCTATACATATACATTCTTTTCGTTTCGTGTTTTATTACCTACCATCCGGGTCCGTTAACTTGGCACCACCAAGTTAATGAATTTTACTCAAAAGCTAGCACCTCGTTGTTCTAACCTAGCACCAGCTAGCACCACCAATCAAAAAGCTAGCACCACCTAATTATTGAAATAAAAGCCTTTTACTTTCGGGGGGGGCCAAGTTAACGCTAGCCCCCCGACATTATTTAATTCTCATGAAAAGTTGGTCCAAGGTAGTTTAGACCTAGCACCAGCTAGCACCACTAGTCTCATAGCTAGCACCACTCTGCAAGTATTAAAAAAAATTAAAAACCAAAAAAAAAGTAGCCCCCACTTTTTTTTCTTTAATGGTAAAAATCAGTAGGTTAATAGTCTAGAGCTAGCACTCGCTGGATCCATTAAAAAAAAGTGTGTTTTTATTCAATAAAGCCATGTAATAAAGGGTTATTTTCGGGGGGGGCTAAGTTAACGCTAGCCCCGCAATATAATTTAAAGACAATGAAAAGCTAGCACCTAATAGTTTAGAGCTAGCACCAACTAGCACCATTAGTCTTATAGCTAGCACCATTAAACAAACTAAACAAAATAATTGAAAAGCCCTGAAAAAATAACTCGCATCTACTCGTATAATTCCCAATCGTGGCGGGAAATAAACTATCTTTGAAAATTAATACATTACAATCATCCATTACTTATAAAAAGTCATGTTTTCTGCATTGAACAGAACTTAATATCTACATTATCTACATATTTAATTAAATTATATCACTTGCGTTCAAATCGTTCTTCATTTATTTCAACACACTAAAAATTAGGCCATGATAAATGTGATCATTTAATTTTTTTGCACTGTCATACATTTGACTGACATTACGTAAATAACAAATTTGAAATAACAAACGAGACTATAAAATTGAGGTCATTTGTAATTTATAAATCCGAGGTTAATGACGAAAACCTTTGTAAACTCTAAATTCCTAAAAATATTATTAAAATAATTTAAAATCCTAGAAACTTCACAGACAATGTGTCTAGAAGTCAAGTACAAATTATGAAGTTTTACTATCCGTAATAATAATCCGTATTTTGGGGCAAGCGTCTATTCTTTAGTTTCGCGCTTAGTAATACTTCAGGTATACGGACAAAATAGCATTTGTGAACAGTTTGGTGGGCCTTGTAGATCCCTACTACACTTATACAATGAATATTTGTTTGAATAACACGCTTTAGAAGCAGCTTATTTTCAAGTTAATGCAAATTCATTACTTATTACTAACAAACACATTATTCATTTTAATAAGAACTAATTTAGTTTTTTGTATCGATAGTGGTTTATTGGAGTTAACACTTTAACCATAGTTCCTTTATTACAAATTTTATTACAAATTTGTAATAAAGAAGCTCTAACTTTGTTGTTGCGACGGTAATCTTCTTATAAGATCGTAAAATTGGCATCATATTGTCCTGTAGTAGTCTTGTAGTGCAAACTGTCGTCGTCAAAACGGACTCTTCTTAATCAAGGAAACTGTAATTCTTCCATTAGTTCTACTCCGTGCCGATATACACGGTGAGTCACTAAACGGGTGATTAATATAATTAATGAGATAGTGAGGACCGCGCGTTTAGTGATTCGGAATTGGAAAATGGTACAGCCAACGAGCTGTGAATTTAAAAACCGGCTTTTTTTTCTAGTAGTGCTAACTATGGATGGTTCTAATTAACATTAAAGTTCGTATTAGTTTTCAGAAAGGGATTGTGAAGACACGCTTCTTTCAGAGCGTAGTCAGACATCTACTCCCTTCAATGCCGGGTCGGATATCCCTAATTACAGACACTGCATACTGTCGGTACTTTTCTACTATGACTAGGGGACAGTAAATAAAATAAATAATTTCCAGAAAACATATATTGTAGGTAAATATTTAAAAATAAGTTCGACTTAACTGTAACTCCATTTTTTTCTTTTAAGTAAATATAGGGTCATTATTTTTATCTGTTCACGCCTGAATCACAGTATAGATATCTATACTGTGCCTGAATACTTTGATGTAGGCAACATGTAATACACATCAGAAGCATCTTTGATCAATCTGTTAATCTTTTTAAACTAATAATAATAGCACAAAACAACAACACAAAAATCATACTATGTCATAAATGACAACAAAGATGTCGGACAACTAATAATGGAAAATTCAAACAAAATAGAACGTAATTTATTCAATCCTTTGACGAATATAAAGAAAAGAAAATAAATAATATGTTTCTTAATAATAGGGTGGTATGGTTCAAAATGCTCGCCTTTTCTATCTTCACACAGCGCTATCCTGTGTTCAAAATTTCTACGTAGTCTATTTAGAATCTCGGGTGTTAAATTAAGATCTGTACGACACCAC